TATTCATGCCCTGAAGGTCTGTGCAGGTGCACCAAGTTTTACCCAACCCAACAGAAAGGCACCTTATGGAATTTCCCTGGACTGGATTATGATAACTGTGTCTGCACCTATGCTCAGCTGGAATCTCTTCCTGCATGAGTCTGTCAGTTAATTTTGAGACACACAGCAAGATCAGCTGAGTGCTGTTTCCCCCAGGTTCCCTTCTCAGATGATGTCCTAATTAGGTCACAGAGAAAGACAAAGATGTAGAAGCTGGACTGAGTGCTCACCAGTCAGTTCCTACATGCAACTGCTGTATTTTAGTTTAATTTCTCCTGAGATGTTTGCTGATGTCTTGGAGAATCTTGCCCATAAAAAGGCAGGCTGCTCATCAAGAAAGCAAGTTGGTGAACACATGAATATTTTGAGCTGCAGCATGTAGCACTCAGTATTTATCACTACAAGAGAGAGCATGTGACTCCTCTCTCACATGGCAGCTCCTTGGTTTATGCCTTACAGATTGGAAAACAGCAGAAGTATCCTGTAGGATCACTTTTGGAGAAAGGGCAAAGCGCTGGAGCCATCCCCAATGTTAACATTTTGCTGCAGAATGATTCCTGCCTTTACCCCTCAAGAAAATCCTGTGTGTGGGAAGACAACAGACTTGCTAAAGTCAGAAATGAGTTACTTCTTCACTGCCTAAAGAAAAGTCACAAGTGTGGCCTCAGAAGTAGCAGTGTGACCTGCCAAGGAAGCATATTTAGCTGTTCCTCAGAGCAGGGGAGCTGAAGGTGCTCTGTTCATGGCAGCAAACTCTGTGCACGCAAACAGGTGGGAATCAGTGCACCCTCCTTGTGGGTACAGCTCCTGAGGGAGGTGAAGGATGGCTGGAGCCCTTCAGGGTATTGTTTCTTGGCAGGAACACACATGCTCCAAGAAAAACAAATTTGCTCAGTATTTTTATGAGTCTCTGAGCTCAGCCAGGTCTGGCAGGGATGATTTGACTTCATCCAGAGAGACAGTAGTGGGGAGATCATTCCAAGTTTCCCTTTATTTGGGTAGTGGAACATGAGTAATTCCTTCCCCGAGCTGGAGGGTGCTGCCCTGGGCTCCTCATCCTGCAGTGTGAGTGTCACACTGTGCCTCTCACGTCCTTCCATGGGGCCCAGGGCAGCTCCCTTGTATGGCCTGGCTGCACTGCAAAATATAATTGCCTTTGATGCAGCAATCCCAGCACAGGCACTTTGGACTCTGTGGAATAACAAATAATAATGAAGAAAATAGTCTGGCAATAAATGCTGATCACACCCTATAGGCTTGCACTGAGTTTTTCATTAGGTAGTAGATATTACATGCAAAATAGTAACTTTCCCAGAACTTAGAGAGCTGAGAGTTCTTTGTAAATGTGTAATTTTCCCTTTAAAATACAGTTTATTTCCCAGTGCAAATTCTTCATTATTCTGTAGTTAGGGTTGAAAGGCCTCATCATTTGTCTGAGTCAGAAACGCCCCGAAAAGAAAACAGTCATTTAGTGAGATGAGCAAATTCAGGAAACTGAGGCAAAGGTTCTGCTCTGCAGGTGAACCCAAAGATCCACAAAGCCTGCAGGGATGTGGGTGTGGGGGGTGTGTGACTTTTTAGACAGCTGCAGCTTGGAGACCTTCACTACTCCTCCTTCTTTTTTATGGCATTTTGATTGTTGTTCTCTCCTGTTCTGCTGAAGCCAGAGCTATTTCTGCCCACTTTTGCCTCTCTCCTTTTGCAGACTTACATTGCCTTTGTAAGGCACTCACTGCCAGCTAATGCTGAGCTTATGAACATATGATTTATTTTGAATATGTGTCTCTTTTATGTGCAAAACCAAGCTGGATGCTGTGATTCCTGCTTCATTCTCCTTCCTGACCCAGCAGTAATTCTCCTGATGGAACAAACCAAATAAAGAATGGAATTTCTATGCCAATCTATTTGTCAGCCATAAATAGGCAATATATTAGTCAAACTTTCAGAAGTGAATAGCAACATATTTCTGAGTCTTGGTATCTCCAAAATGTATGTAGATGTTTGCTTTGGGGATCTCTGGCATTTTTGTCATCAGCTAAGGGCTGTCATGTGATGTTTATGTTGGTTAGAGCAGCACTTGGCAAAAGAGGGTAAGAACAAAACTGAGTATAAAATGGGCAGATTTTCTGCAGAGAAAGTGTCTTTTCCTAGACATAGGATTTGCAAAAATATGAATCACTGAAGCTGTTCAGAAGAAAAAAGGAAAAACTGATTTAAAAGCCTTTCTTTTCAGAATTTCAGAAATACATGTTCTGATGAATTCAAGACAAAAAGTCCTTAGAAGTTTACCTGTTATTCAGTGGGGAAATTCAAAGCTTACTTCACACATACGTGTAGCTTTATTTTCATTGGGACTTCAGGACATGAGAAGCCTGGCATGTCATCTGAATGTGGTGATCCAATACATCTGGCACTGAGAATTTCAGTGTGCTAAAGAGTGATGTTTATAGCATTATGGACCTAACTGGCTTGCATGTCACTATTGAAAATAAGGAGGTAATAGCAGTTTTAGGTTTTCTCTGTGCCTGGAACTTAGAAGGAAGCAGAGATGCAGGTTCAAGCATCTTTGGCTCTCCCTTGTGAGAGGGACCAGAGACTCTTTGCCTGCTCTGGTCTCACCCCTCACTTCCCATCCATTCACATGGATGGGAAGCAGGTGGAAGGAGCTGGGGTCAGCCAAGGGGGCCCAAGCCAACATTGTTGTTGAAATGAGTGTTTGCCCCTAGAGACAAACTACTTGCATCTGGTAAAAGAAGAAAAGTTACTGTGAGTCTACTGTAGTTCCTCTCTTGTGTTCCCCAGGAGAAGAGTGGCTCCATTTATCTGACGGGGGCATTGCTCTGAAATGGGCTCCTGAGTTTGCCTGGCCTTTACTTATGTACATTTGTTATTGCTATGCCTGTTTTACATGAAATTTCATTTTGTTGAATGGTTTCACCACCTTACAGGAAGAGACTCTGCACTTAGACTGATCAGTACTATCTTTAAAACTAGTGCAAGTTTAGGAGTGAGCTGCAATGTAAATGCTTCCCTAAAGGAGATGTAGCAATTGCTGTTCAGCACCAAAGTCCAGACAAGCGACAGGAAAGTGATGATGCTTTAAACTTGGCCTCAGTCCAAAGCATCTCTGCCTTATAAACTGATCTTCAGTCCTGTTATCTTCCCAGGAACAACATCAAAGCGCCGCAGGGCGTTTGCACAGGGAATGAATTCACAGAGAATTAGACCTTGGCTTGGGCACCCACAGATGGAGAAGTCATGTTTGTAAGAGCTCCCTTTCTTGTGGGGTGTGTGTAGGTACCCAGTCCTTTAAATTCTACTCTAGCCAAGCTGTGATGCTTATCAGTGGGATTTTGTGATAAAATGTAGTGATTCCTCCATGACACACTTGAAGTGCTGATTGTGAACCCAGCTTAACCATTCCAAATAAGAGTCAAGTGTTCACTTGGGCATTCTGGAATATATTCCTTTAAAAAAAAAAATCACTTATTTTTAATGGCACTCTACTTATTGAGCATGTAAATTAAGCTTTTGCTTCCCACATCATCTAGAAGAATACCTTTGTTCAGTTGCTGTCCTGCAAATAGAACAGCAATAAAGAACTTTGTATGGTCAGAGCAATAGAACTGGAAACAGGAGGAGAAAGAACATTTCCGTTTTAAGGCAGGATTTAATTACTAACCATTAATTTTAGGTTTTCTGCTCATCCTTCTCTCACAAAATGTCCTCTGTGAAGGGCAGAGGTCCCTGCAGGCTGGCTGTGATGCTCTGATCCCCAGGTAACATGCCATTATCCACACTGGCATATATGTACAAATATAAGAAGGAGCAGAGGCAGGCAGTGTGTGTGAGAGGTAGGGAGGCTGGGAAGGGGGAAGATGTGATGCATTGTCAGCGCTGCTGGTAAAGGAAAGCCATTGTCAGGCTGTGATTCCTGGCTGCCACGGCTGCCTGGGAAATGTGTGTCAACACCACGCAGAGGCACAAGCTGCTGCTGGGGGAGGAGGAGGAGGAGGAGGTGCCTCTCTTTATCCCTGCTCGGCTTGGTGCTGGCGTCTCAGAGATGCCTTTGTCACAAACAGGAGTGCTCACAAGGCGTTGTCTGCTTTGCTTTCTCTCTCCAGCCCAAACAACAACAACAACAAAATCCCATCTCTGCTGTGTAGCAGTGAGATTTGAGATTGTTTGCTGGTTGAATTTTTTTCCCTTTTTTGCTGCTGTAAGATTTCAGGATGATCCAAGAATGTTGTTCACTGGATTTGAGGGGTGTTGTTGGAGGGGGAATTCCACTGCTGCCTCAAACCCAGCAGTTTGGAATATCCTGAGCTGACCCTGCTGAATGTATTACATCAGGTCAGAAACATTTTGTTGCAGGAGCACAGCAGCCTATTCCTTTCACAGGGATGGTTTCATCTACTTCTTGCTGTTAGCTTAATAACCTCTTCCTACTTGAACTGTCCATTCTGCCAGATTTTTTTTTTCATAGAATCCCTTGTGTTTTGGCCATGAACTGAGTATGTAAGAGACCACTAAACAAGAAAACCTCCAGACAGCTAGCTGGGCAACCCTATTTAAGTAAAAAACCCTGCATTTGATGAGCCAATTACACAGCAAATATTAAAAGGACAGAATGCCAAATACTTGTTTGCAAATCTAAGCCTTTATTAACAGCACAGCTACAGCTATAAAAGGTAATGATCTGAGCCTCACAGTCTACCTGTACCCCTGCCTGAATCCTGGGTGCTGCTGGCTGGGCTTTGTGAGTGTTGTAGGACTAATCCCTGTGGTTTCTTGATTATGAGCATGTGCAGAGCAGCCCAAGGTAGAGCCGTGCATGCAGAGCGAGCACACAGACGTGCCTTGCAATGCCATGTTTGTGCATGTGTTCCTACAACTGAGGAGGATACAGGGAGCCTGCCTGCCTTGCTGATTTATCTGATGTTTTCTTGTTTCTGTTTCAGCATTCAGGATAAGTCCTTCAACACGACAGCTTTAGCAGAGTAAGTGAACACTTTAAAGATGTCCTTATTTTTAAACAGGAATGATGAGTTTAGTTACCGTACAGAATAATTGTAAGTGGTATGCCAGAAGTCCCAAGCTATCTGTCATATATTTGGATTGGGTTTTCTGTAATCTAAACATATTATTGCCTGTATGGGAAGGATTGCATAAAGCAGCTGCCTTTAAATGCTCCTTGACTATTTAGCAGTGAAATCCCTTTTTTGGGAGAATATACGCTGGGTGCACATCACACACGTTTAAGTGCATGATTTGCAGTGTCGGATGAACCTCCTGTCAAAATATTACTCATTTCTGATACTGATGATCCTGTCAAACACAAGCATGTCTGTTTTCTAAGGACACATGGTCTGTATTTACCACAAGCATTGTTAGGAAAAAAAAATCATTAGGAAATATATTGAAAAATCCCTATACATTATTTAGACAGGCCAAGTACCAAAAACGTCATTTCTTTGTTATCAATTCCATAAACTCCTTAGATGGCCTTTTGTATATATAATAATCATAAGGATGTATATGTTGATTTTTCTTGTTGTTTTACAGAGACAGCAGAACAAGGGAGGACATTAGAAAGTTAGGAAGGCAAACCCTCTAGGAGCTATTGCAAATGAAACAGTCTTTGTCTTATTTTAGTCTAAACCACTTCAATATTGGAGCTCTGTGCATTTTTACTTTGCATGCTTTTGATTGTTTCAAAAGCTTTTGGGGAAGATTCTGCAGCAGTAAGGAGCCAAGCTGTTTTTCAGGAGGAAAATGATGTATGGATTTGTTTGTATATTAGGTGAGCTTTGCACTGTTAAAATGCTCATAATCTAAAACACCTCAGCTGGACAGTGAGCTGTTTGCTGAGTGCTGTGGGGACAGGGGACACTCTGAAAGCAGGCCAAGTTATAATCATCTGAGCCATCTCTAGGTGCTATCATAACCTCTACAGGAGAAGTAATATTTCAAAGGGATCTAAAGAATTTCTCTCTCTTATATTGCTTTGCTTTATTTGCTTATATTTCCTTGCTTTACTTAATATTTAAATTTAGTCAGACTTTTTGTGTGACTGGGGCAGATATGGAAAGATTAAACTGAATTTAATAAATCATGGAGGGATTTTTGTTTGCTTGCATGCTTGTTTGTTTTCATTTCCTGTGTTCCTGTTAGTTACGTGATGAATTTTGGTCTGTAAAATTATGGGTTGCTCCCCCTTCACAGAAAGATAGCCAGATTACAGATAATATATTTTTCATGTTTTTTCTCTTTCCCTTTCCTCTGTCCCTAAGTACATCCATTGTTTCCTGTAGAGATTCCCCTGGAGCAGTCCCTAAGCCTGCCTCCCCCCTGAGGTTTCTGGGACCCAGAGGTGATGGCTTTTCTCTGTGGGGCTTCATGTTAAACCAGGAGGGTATAAAATCTGGGAGTGTGGTGCCAGCCCTGCCCTTGGGGAGATGGAGAGGGGTTGGATCTCCCTCATTTCAGCTGCTGTTGGTTCTGGTTTGTGGGATTTCATGTTTCATCTTATATTTCCAAACAAAGGGGTAGAAACATGCTTTTAGAAAGCAAAGGGAGTGAACAATGATATCTGAAAAGCATTGTCCCATTGAACAAACTTGGTTCCCTAAGTCTCATTCTTCCCTAAATCTCATTTGGAGATGTCCCCCAACACCTGCTTTTGAGAGCTGCTGAGGATACACAATTCTTATTGATTTCAGCACTTATTGCTTGTGTTGACCATCTCTGAAAGCAGATGAAAATAGATTGACTTTTATTTAGCAGATGAAAGAGAGAGTTTGCCATGCACATCTAGACATCCTCATTTAACAATTTCTGTCTTTATTTGTGCCAAAGGCAAAGCCAGGGCTTCCTGAATAAAATCAAGGCAGTGGTAAAACACCTTCAGGAACATTTCTCCAGACAAGGAGAGCGCCTGGGGGTGCCAAGCTCGCAGCAAGCCATGCATGCAGCCTGGTCTGGGAGCTGCTCACGTGAGCTCCTGAAAGGTCAAGTCAGCAGAAGGCAGCAGTGCTCACTCTGGTCTGAAATGGCTCCTGTGGGAAGGTGAAAATGGTAGAAAGTTAAAGAAGCTGGTCCCATTAACCCAGAGACCCTGGAAGGAACACAGAGACAGACTAGCCAGAGTCAGAGCAGCACTCCCGCCAGGCTGGGATCCCATCTCTGACCTGACTCTGGCCTGTGCCATAACATCAATAATGGATGTACTTACTTATAAGTGATATCCATCAGTCAGTAGCTGGATTGGGCACTGAAGGGAGAAGATTCACATCACTGTTTTTGTTAAAAGACAGCTCCTACCCAATGTAAGCCTCAGCCCATTTGGATTTCTGACCTGAAGCTGCTGTGGAACATTCTCTGTTGGTTTAGGAGTGAGGAAGATGCTGCTGCAGTTTTTTGTTGGTGAAAAGTCTCTCTGTCTCTCTGCTGCACAGCCACAAACTATCAAAAAATGTACCAAACTCCTGAATATTACCCTACCTATTAAATACAGGGAAAGATAAGCAACAAGATTTACAAGCTACTGATAAGAGGAAAGGAAGGCGTGCATGTTTGTTTTGGTATGTGCAGGCAGGCGGGATTAACACAGAAGACACATTTCTTTAAGAAATCATGGTAAAAACACTCCATGCTTCAATGCTGGGTATTTGCATTATATGATAAATTCATCTTTTTAAAGGTCCTGCTATGTTCCTAGCCTCAAACACTGTCCTGTGTGAGTGAGCTCTCAGCCTCCTGGCTATTATTTATTCTTGCATAGACAAAAATTTCTGTTGGAAATTTTAGAGTGTGTTGTTTCTGAACCTCCTCAGGATCTTTTAAATTTCATGAAGGTCATTGTATTCTCTGACTCATTATTGCTTCTCTTTCCTATCTGCTGTCATCCAATTACTCAAATACATTTTGCCACACTCACTTATGTTTATAAGTTGTGTCTTATCTTATGACTTCTGTCAGCTGCTGGGTGCTGAGTTAGGAGCTCTTCCTCTCGAGATCACCTTCTTAGGGCCAGCCCAGCTCCCCCAGTTCAGGAAAGTGCTCCTTAACTGGACTTGACTTGGCCACTGGACTTGCTCTCAGTCATCCATTGTCCCTCCAGAGAGTGTTCCCCATAGCCAAGGTGGTCTTTCAGGAGGCTGCCAAGTGAGGTTTCTGGTGAGAGAAGAGGGAGCAAAACTGGTGGCAGAGCTGCTTCCTCCCACCTCCTCTCTCTGAGGCGCACCCAGGAGGGAGAATGTGTTCCTTTAGGGGATTCCTGGACTTTGCTGGCCATGGCTTGGCCCGTGGCGTACACCCCACCTGGTGGCATCTTCTCTTTCTCCTGTGTCTGTGCTGGGAGCTCTGTCCATCCAGCTCTGACCTTGGCACTCTCTCCTCATAATGCATTTTCTTTCTGTTGTTTCATCCCTCTGAAATATTCCTTCTAGTTCTACAGCCAGGTTCCTGGTACCTTTCACATTGGGCTTCCTTATTCAAACCCCCAGTGTGTCCTGTGCCACCCCTTGTTGCTTCCTGTGAAGCAGTCAGGTATTGGCCAGAGGGGAAGGTGTCACTGGCACCCAGAGGCAACCAGATTTCTACAGTGAATTTTCCATTTTGCACATCAAGCCTGGTCTTCCATCCATCATCCCACTTTGCCATGTGGGGAAAGCTGCACTCATTGCAGGAATATTGTGTGACTAGGGTGATCTGCCACTGTAGTTCTCTGCTCCAGTTGTGAGCAGCAAATGCTTTCATGCATATGCTGATGTATTCAGGAAGTGTAAACACTTGAGTGGCCCTTTAAATATTTTCTGCTGCAGTCTGACTTTTGATATAGACACCAGCAGAAGACTGGTGGGGAAGAGGAATATATTAAACCCTTGCCATCAAATTGCAATGCAGAGCTATGAATGTGTCACTTAATGTACTCTCTTCTAAGTGGGGCAGTTCTTCTCAAAATTTAACAAGTCAGCAGAAGTACAGGCTGCTTCCCCCATAATGAAGAGATTCCTCTGCCAGAAAACTTCAAGGGATCCAGGCCTCCTTAGTGTCTGTGCCCTGTGAGTATGAACTGAGGGTGAGGAGAGGGGCCTGACTTTACCCCAGCACTACTAGGCTCTGTGTTTGTATATTTTGGGAGTGCATGCTTATGGATGCATGTTTATCTGAAGAAAGGCTGCTCATGGGCTTTGCAGGTTAAATCATCCTGCAAAGTTCAGCCATGCAGCCACAGTGTCATGTTCAGCTCTCAGTGGTTGTGGTTTAGCATATTTATTCTGGCTTCTCTTCTGATTAGGCAGCCTTGGGACAATTCTTTTGTTTGTAACTTAAAGGAAGCAATTGATTATGATTGTTCAGGCATCTTAAAAAATACTGCTAGTTCACTTTTTAAGACTAACTCTTGCTTCATAATAATCAAAGAATCAGGGGATTCTTTTTCCTGCTGCATAAAGGGTGACCGGTCTATCACAGTTAATATTTTTGTGAGTTTGTGAGAAAAAAACCTCCTTAATTGTGTCTAATTATTTCTGAGGTTAATGTGAAGTATACTATAAGCAATTAGAATACAGAATTTCTTGTAATTTTCCTGTGATTTTTATGGTAACATCTGAATTCCTTGTAATTATTTCCATTTGTCTGAAAATGATATACCAAATTGTGCACACTTAACATCTCAAATCCTCTTCTTCCTCTTGAGATTTGGACTATCATGGAGCAGTTATGGCATTAAATGACCCTGTCTAAAGCATGAGGAGAGGAAGAAATGTGTTTATAGTTTGAGCTGCACTGTAATGTTATTAAAAGCTAAGTTTCTGCAGCTGGCAGAAAACCAATAATTATCTTGTGTTCATTTTCAAGGTGTGACGGGTATTCAGACTCTGTGCATGAAGATCAAGCAGGCAGCTCCAGTCCCAGGTACTCTCCTGTAAACTTTGTTTGAAATCCATTGGGAGCAAGTGAAACTGTGACTGCTTCTGTTACACCACTAGAAAAAAGCCTTTATTCTCAAGAGAATGCAGAATTTCTGGGGTATTACCTGCAAAAGCTGTTAGTATTTCTGGGAAATATGTATTTATCTCATGCACTTTTGGGTGATCAATATGAAGATTATTTACTGTTGCTATTATATATGTAAATATGTTATGGTCTGTATTCTTAACTTCACATCATACTCCTGTCATTCAGAGGCAGCTGTGGTGCTTATACACCGAATTTTACTGTACAGCAGCTGGTGCAAAGCAGTAGTAAGCAGAGTTTTACAACTGTGCAAGGATATGCTCATTGCTGAGTGTGTCTGGGTAAAGAAATCCTTTAAATTGTAATTTAACTGAAGTATTCTTGAGGCATGCCTCTCTCATGGCTGCTAGTACATATTGATTGCTAGAGTATGCAACTTAACCTTTCAGGAAGATCTTAAAATCAGAGGATACCTTAAAATTAGCAGCACTGGTGCACACTGTTGGGGTACCTGTGGACTATAAAGCTGTAGCTATAACAACTGCCTTGGAGCACACTTGCAGAAGGCATGGGCAGCAATGGTGTTCAACTCCACAGGCACCCTGCAAGCATCCATCTGGATGCTGATGGGCCACAGATGGAAAGTGAGTTTGGCAGCTCAAAATCCTTAGGAGAAAACACTGAACTAACAAGTTATGCTTTCTGGAAAAAAATAAATGAATCTCATGGGGATTTAATTCAAATAGCCCTTGACTCCCTCTGCCATGGAAGTTTCACACCAGGAGAGAGGTCATCTCCCAGCTGACCATTAGGATGCTGCCAGCTGGAGCTAACATCTGAAATCCCACCTGAACACCAACTCCAGCCAGGGGTTTTGGAGCTGCAATGCTGCTGCCACAGGCAGCCCTGCCTCCTGCACTGTGGTAACCTCGTGGTGCCACTGAGGTGCTCCCCATGGAAGGCATGAGAGCAGGCTGAGACTGGAGGGACCGGGTGTAGGTGACACTAGCATGGTCTCCTTGGACAGAACGTGCACATTGTAGTCTGGGTGGGGATTGAAAATGTCTGTCCCAGGTCCCAGATTAAGCATCCACGAGTAACAGTGTATGATAAGCCACCAGGTGTTTTACACAGGAGGATGTTTTCTCCAAACACATCCCTGGCTGTTCAGACCTTGCTTTGAGTGGCTTCCTCCTTCCCTCTGTGCAATGGCCCTCAAAGCTAGAGACCAACAGAAGGGAAGTGTGCTGTTGAGAGGAATTATTGTCTGTGATGATATTTTTGTGAGGTTACTGTGAATCATTGGGTGGGGGAAGTCTTCTGCATGAAAAAGAGAGTTTCAGATTTTATCTGGGGAATGGGAACTGTAGGTCTGAAGCCCAAGAGTGCCTCTAAAGCTATCATTTAAGTAGCTTCCCAGTTGAGTGTGTAATAATGCTAACTTAGATCCATAACTGATGTGTAGACCACTAAATTTAGTAAAAGCTATATGCTATAAATAGCCAAGAACTTGTTGCTCTTCTTCCCTCATAATGTTTTGACAGATGTCTGAAATCCTGCCTGATGCATTTCAATTTTATTTTCTTACAGAGACGATGATAACAAAGAAAATTACCCGGACAACTCTGCTGTCTTAGAGGAAAGGCAGCTGCCTTTGCAAGACACCCAGCAGCACAAGCAGCAGGTTTTAACTGACTGTGCTCTAAGGCCTGAAATGGGCAACTTAAAGCTGAGGAAACCTAAGCCCATTGCAAAGCTAGAAAATGGAAAAAGCCATGAGGAAAGTCAGGTAAAAAATTAAACTTAGCAGGGGGAGGCTTGCGGCACAATGTCTAAGCAAGTTTTGAAATGCAAAGAGGGACTCTCTGGTAATTCATGGTGTGATTTGAGACCCCACTAATCCACCTTGATTTCCAAGGACCTGCAGTCTGCAACCCTCCTGTAATAACAGTTTCTTTCTGCTCGGGAATTGCAGAGAGGGTTGTGCTACAACTGCTTTCAGAAGCGAGTGGAGAGTATAGCTGAAGGTGTGCAAATATTTATTTAGACAGTTTCTGTTTTGTTTATTTGATCAATGATCTCCTTTACTGTATTTTGGCTGCAAATAGAGGGATTTCACTGTTTTCCTTCATCTTAATTTCTGTTTTTCTCATATTTAAATAGTAAGACCATAGCAGTGGAGTAGCACACTGGTAGCAGTGCTATCCCCCACCATCTTCCTAGGTGGAGCTGGGGGGAGCAGAATGGTAAATTTTGTAAAAGGTGCTAAGGAAGACTAGACATGAGGAAACTTCTGCTGCTGTCTATGGTGGTACATTTGCTCTGTCGACTCTAGAATTCCACCTCTCAGCAGCTGCTGAAATTGCCTCTGGTGCTTCCCAAGTTGTGTTGGATGTGCAGTGTATAGGGGTTGAGCTCTGGTGCAGATTTAACCCCTCAGCTGGATATATTCTCATATCCAAGATAGTTAATATTAATGTTGGTAGATTTGTTGGTCTGCAGTAGGCACAAGGCCTGACATCTGCAGATACAGATGTCTGTATTTACATAAAATTGTGCATACACAAATACAGATGTCTGTATTTCCATATCTTGGCTGTATAGCGTATTTGGCTACTTTTTGTCTCTCCTCTCTTCTTGCTTGTGGATAGAAATTTGCAGAGCTCTTTCTGAAGTACTTCAAGCCTGTCACAGACTAGGAATTATTTTGGACCAAGTTAGAATGGGATTTCATCATTTTATACAGAATGTCTTACCTTATAAGTGAGAACTTTTTGAAGTTCCTTTTTGAAGGTCCTTTTTGAATCCCTGAAGGAAAATGAAAACCAAATGGAAAATGGTATTATTACAGTCTCTTTTGGAATATCAATGTCAAACTCTTGCCCTAAAATTCCTGTCTGTTCTTCTGGAGCAGATCCAGAAATAAAGCAGTAACTGGGAGTTTTTTTGCCATTGCACTGCATTCCTAGGAAACATTATTTAACCTGCAGGGAGATGAGGTGTGCATGTTTATCAGCTGAACAGAAAAAATGATGGGAATTTTGCCCTGTGAAGTGCAAGTGGAAACAGATCAGGAAGAAGAGTCATGAAGAAGCCATAAATGGGGCAAGGTCTGTCTCAGAGGTCATCTGTTGCTTTTTCAGCCCCCTGTGTGTGTCCTGCCTGTAAAAAAAGTGAAAGCCAGCACAGCACAGATTTGCTGCTCTGTGGCATTTTACATGGCTCAGAGGGGTTAACTGGAAATGGTGAAATTCTTTCATGGGAAACTTTTTGAGTATATAATTAGGCTGCCATAAAACACCAGCATGACTTAAGTATGCAGCCTCTGGAAGGAAAAACGGTGCCAGGCAGATAATTTTCACATGGCTCAAGGGTTGGAATTAGGAGAGACAGAAGTGGTGAAACACTGTAACTACATCAACCTTCCTTGGTGAAACCTCTTGCCACCAAGCTTCTGGATGGGGTAAATGGTGTACTCCCAAGCAGCTGATAAACAGCACTTGCTGAGCACATGCATTTATGAAAGAAAAGCAGGATGCACTGCACATCATGATTGAACTGTTCATCCTTGCTTTCCTGGGATTATTGGCAGAGTGCTTTTTCAGCAGTCTCCTCACTTCCCCAGCTGACTTCTCTGCAGCATCAGAAAGAGTGACACCAGAGCAGTGACAGAATCTCTGTTAAAGGTGTTGCTCTGATAAGCCAAGGAACTCTTTGCTATTCCCTCTTATGTGTTATAAGCCCATAAGTTTCTTTTAAAGAGAATTGCCCCCTTAAAATTAGAAGAGGCTGTTGGGAGATAAGTTTGCTGCATGTATTGGAAGGATTAAAGTCTGTTTGGATGGGAACCATTTTTGTGTGCCTTTCTAGTTGTGAGAATCCTAGGGGTTTCCACTGTAGAAAGGTCACTGAGAGGGAACAGACAGCTGTGATCAAGCGAGGGAAGATGGGATTTTGAGCTTCACAAGACTTTCAGCTGAAGTGTGATTCCTGTGCCTCTGATATTTTTGGCACAATTGTAGCCCTGTGGTCTCGTGCCTTTGGTCTTCATGAAGAAAAGGTTATTAGATTTACACTGATGATTAAAAAACCCAAGTGTAATAAAAGAACAGCACCAGGTGACTTCACTTGATCACTTATCAGATAGCAAAATGTCACCAGGGTAAAGCTGCACTTTGCATGTTGCCTGCAGTTATTTCCCTGGGGGCAGGAGCTGGCTCTGGAGGCTGCTGTAACTTTCCCAAACAGAACATGGGAGGAGAGGAGGCTGCTGGAATGTGACTCCACCACTGTACTCCAGCTATTTGGTTTCATCTTTTCCATGGTTCCATCAGCTTCCTTAGCAATGCTGCAGCGCTCACCTATAGGAAATCAAATTAATTAGGATTTATTTGACTTCAAGAGGTGAGGAAGCATATGCCCAGAACATATTCCAGGGAGTCAGTGTTGGGAACAGATGGTGAGGAATAGAAAGTCTGCTTTCCTTGCCCAATCCTTTCTCCTGTCACTCACCTTTGGTGCACAGTCACGAGTATGGATTCTTGAATGAGTCATCCTCAAACTCCCTATTGATACTGGGACATATTTACAAAAGAACACCAAACTTCCTAGCTAATAGGCAGAAACAATAAAAGTTCAGTTTTAAACTCTTATTATCAAGGTAAATGGCTATAAAAATTGTGGCCTGACAATCAGTGCCTAAAGATGACAATGCTGAAAACTGCTGAGTAAAGTTTTGTATTTTGAGTATAAATGAAGTGATCAAATTGCTTGTATGTCAAAGAACTTCCAATAATTTGACATTAAAATTATGATTCTAAGTGCACAGTAATCAAAAAGCCAGAGCTGATATTGGCACATCAGCTGCAAAAACACATGAACACATCAGGCAGCCTGGAAGTTTTGCTTTGGTTTCTGGGTATACTCTGTTTATGTTTATGATGTTATGTTTATGATGCAATTTCACTGTAGAAGTCACCCTCTTTAGTGAAAAGAAACAAAAATACAGTAGAAGATGGGGCTCTGCTGTAGGTGCCTGTGATACATCAGGATTTCACTGCTCTTTAAAAACAGAGATTCCATCAAGGGTGTTCCCCTACTGTAACTTGTTAACACCCTAATTACATGATTTTTGAGCAGCAACAAAGACATAAAAGAGAAAAAAAAATACAGAAACAACCCAAAGTCACCCAAGTCCTCTAACATAAAGCCTGCAAGCAAGGGCTTATTGCCAGTGCTCTTGTCCTCAGCTTTCCCCTTCATCCAGCAGAAAGCACCTGGAATTGCTGTGTTATCTCTGCCCTGCAAGTCCCCATCTGAAGAGTCCTACCCAAACTTTTGACTTCCATGCATCCAGCCAAGCTTTGACACTGGAGCAAAGTCAGGTACATTGCTCTAGCAGGGAAGGGAGCTCTGTTGTTTTGCAGAGCAAATTGCATTTTAATTTTTTACACTATTAGACTAAAATATTTGATTGCAAAAGCTAATAAAGAGGTGGAAAAAGTCCCACTTTGATTATCACATTTTCAAATTTTCAAAACAACAACAACATTTTCAAAATTTTTGTTTCATTGCAGTGAAAGGAAATACTGCAACTCATTTCATAGGTAAGGAAATGAAGAAGTACCGAACACATCTTTTCACAGCCCTACAACTGGTTTTCAAAAGCTTGGAGTTGAATGGATACTTTTCTCATTCCTGTTCTATGACTCAGTTTTTTGGACTAAATTGGCTTTTTTATTTTCTGTGCCTCAGATTGGGTGATGTGGCTTTTTTTCCCCTCACTGCCTTTCCCTCCTCACAGAGTAATACTCTATTCATAAGCTACCCATATGTTAGGGAAGGGAAAGAGACAAATGGTTAAATTTTACATATTTTATTTAAGTGATATTTAACTGCACTCACCTTTGTCAGCCAGATTTTTTAATCATTCCCAAGTAATAAAGTCTTACTGATATGTGAGTAAATAATTTCAAATTAATTCTTTTTATAGAACCTCAGCTCTGAAGCTGAAATCTGTGATACCCAAGTAATAAAATCTTACTGACATGTGAGTAAATAATTTCAAATTAATTCTTTGTCTAGAACCTCAGCTCTGAGGCTGCAATCTGTTATTTAAGTAATAAAGAGAAAAGTTACAGTCTGCTTTGGTTTCAGAAACTGTTTTCCAGTGAAATAACATACTACTTTCTTTAGACTCTTTTATCTTCTCTGTTCTCCAGTTGTTTCAAGATTATTACCAAAAAATAACTAAGATCCTCAACCAGCACCTGGTCTCATGGAGCATTTTTTCCTGAAGCAAAATATTTAGCCGAGCTTGGATTGGTACTGACAGGATACATTCAGCTTTTCTTTTTGTTTCTCCTGTGCAGGAGCTGGAGTGTGCATTGCCAGGCCTCTCAGAGTGGCAGGGGAAGGCTGGATGCTCAGCTAATAACTATGCACAGAACGTGGCTTTGAAATGCCAGGAAGCAGTGGTGAGATTCCAGCCAAGGTAAGACTTGGGATAACACAGCACGTTTCACTTCTGATGAACTGTAGGAAAGGCTAATTCATCTGCTGCCTACTGCATAAAATATTCAGACTCCTGGCTCTTGTTGGCAGTGTATTCTATATTTATACATCTAGGAATGTTTGGAGAAAATGAAAGGGATAAAGATAAGAATGCAAATTTCATCATTCTTTAAACCCCTTACAGCCGAAGCAGAAAGAACATCCTTAGTTTAGAAACTTCAGTTCCTCTGTGCCAAGTTTCAAAAATACTTCTCCACTTCTTTCCTTTTCCCCCAGTGCTGAATTGCCTCTCTTTCTCAGAGCTGCATTCTCTGAGCAATGGGAATGGGAACCTCCACACCTGATTATAGCAAGGATATCCATTTATGTACAGTTTAGGCTCTGGGTGTTGTGGCAACTGTGTTTTTTCTGGTGCTGGAAAGGGCACTGTGTGCTCAGGTCTGGCATTAACCATGACCTGATGGCAGGTAACTCAGCTGGTGATGAAGTAACTCAGCTCTGGTAAGTATTGGAAGTCACAGCTTCTACTTTCATCCATCATGGCCTTGCAAATGGCTACAAATGGGGTTTCAACTCACCCAACTCACCAGTGAGGGTGTGTCCCAAGGGTAAGATTTAGTCCTTACTAAATCTGGGGGCACAAATTTCCCACGTTCAAGTGCTGGTTTTGCTGTGCTTTTCTGTGCATAGAGTGTTTGTCAGGTGAGCCAGGTCTCTGCTCTTTGCCTTGATGTGCATGACAGCCTTGGTGCCCTGTGGCAGAGTTTCTGGCTCCCTTTGGAGGTTCTGAAGCAGCTGCAGCAGCAGCCCATCCCAGGGATGCTCAGTGGCTCAGGGCACAGCTGGCTGACAGCTAGAGCTCAGTGGATCAAGGTTTGTTTGCAGTCAGGAGTGGGACAGCAGTGACAGCTGCCATCCAATGGCACTTTGGTGCTTTATGTGACATCAACTGGTTGCTTTCTCCAAAGCTTTTAGGAGGCAACGTTGTAAATGATCTTAATTTGTGCACTCAAAGGAAGGTTTAGCAGAATGAAAAAGCATTTCATTAGCTTGGACAACAAAGTGCTTCTGCCCTCCAATGCCTGTATGTGCAATTGAAACACTGCATCTCAGGAAGAATTTTTAATTAGGAAGCCTGCCTTCTCTTCTTCTGACATTCCTTATGAGAGGAAACAATCCCATGGACTAGTAAAGAGGAGCTTCCTGAGTGTGGTATCAGACCTACCCAGTGGCTCTGCTGGTGGGATGTTTGTGTATGGGTAGGTTATAAATAACTGGTTAATTCCAAAAGGAACATGATGAAAGACACAGGGACTTTAAAGACAGAAACCAGAGTGGAGTGTGCACAAATAAAACAGCAACCACAGCAAAGTTCCCCTGCCTACTTCAACTGTTTGGCCTTTTTAGTCTGCCTGGCATTAAACCATTTTTCACTATGCTATTTATTCTTGTTTAACACCATGCTAGCTCCTTAGAAAGCCTGCTATCCAAAAGGGCTAAATCTGTAAAAGAAAGATGCCTGGATTTACCATTCTAAGTGCTGTGCAAGCACAGTGATCAAATCTCAATTCTGGCCATGTTTCAATTTGATTACATTATGAAAAAGAAAAAAGAAAGTAGGTGACTTTACTCTCAAATAAGGAACTTCAGACATAAACAAGCGTTGACATGTGGTCTCTGGCCTCACACACACAATGCACTGTTTGTTTTAACTGACCTTGACCCAACACTCCCACCACCCAGGGCACTTCCACTCACCTATGCTGGAGTTGCCAGCTCCAGTTTGAGGATTGCTGTGTCTGGTGACCCCTCCCGAGGGTCACCAGCAGCTGTCCCCTCCCTGTGCTGCCTTGGCAGGGCCACAGCAGCTGACAGTCCATGTGTCAGCTCACAGGGCTCCCTGGTGGCTGCACCAGGCTCACAGCACTGACTCCAGCACAGGCTGGGACACTGCTGCCCGGGCATGATGTCCTTGTTTTCTGCTCTCTGCTGTGGGACATGCAAAGGTTAGGCATTCAGTGCTGGCAGCAGGCAGCAATCATAGCTAGATTTGGGCAGAACACATCTGCCAGCACCACAAACCCCAAGTTTCACTGTGTTCCACTGGTTTTGCTGGGCTGCTGGTAAAATTAGCAGTGCTTTGGGACAGGACACCTGCCTAGTGTCCCTAAGTCAGACTAAAAGCTCTCTGGTATTTGAGGGGAGAGGAGAGGGACACACTGCTGCAGAAGTGTCCCTGTACACCTCTCTTCATATATCAGATGTGTAGGGGGAGGACAGGAGAAGAAGGATTTATTTCTGCCTCAAATAAAGGGTCAAGGTTGATTGTTTCTAGTGCATCCTGCTGTTACTTCTGCTTTAACTGAATTGCTGCAGGGGGCTACAGCTCTGCCTTTAGTCTCACTGGGGATTAAAGGTCTAAATACCTCTGAATTCTACAGAGGTTTTTAAGAAATCTGTGAGGCAGCTAAAAACCAGATCATTTTAACTTGTCTAAATATGGATTAAAGACTCCTGAAATATGAACAACTTTTCAGTACAGTTCCTGTTAAGCAGAATAATCTAAGTTTAGGATATTCTAACAAGGGATTCTCATAAACAGATGTGTGACAGAGAAGAACAAACCAGGCCATGTAAGAGCAACAATCCACAGAATTATGACTTAGAAGTGTGTATTGTTTCTTTGAGGGGGTAATTTCTTTTATGGTAATCACTGAAACAATAAAGGAAAGTTTTGTGGGATTTAAGGGAAATGGAAGAGTAGACTTGAAGAGATTTGCAGCCAGAAGAATAAGGGAATAGTGTCTTGTTTTTGGCTAAGTTGTACCTGACCTGTGAAGCAAGGGTTTCAACCTCAAAACGTATTTATCATGTATGATTTATGAAAATCAGCATCAATTTAGTAGATGAAATGCCATCAGCATGGAAGGGAACCTTTACACCCTTTTTCCAGAATATGAATTTCTAATACTACTGCCAGTGATTACACTGAATACTGCTCTGGTCATTGTGTGTAGCTGGGATTGGATATGAGTGCAATATAATTTGCACCTTGATAGAAGGCAGATAAAAGTTATAAACAGGTCCTGGGAACAAATAAAGGAGTTGCCTTTTTTTAACAGAGACTAGAAAAGCCAGTGTGGAACAATACCCATGATTACAACAGCTGCTCTGCCAGCTGCCTTCTCAAAGGCAATCAGCAAAACTGGAGTGGGCTGCAGGCTGTGTGCAGGTACCTGAGCAGAGCCTGGTGCTTTCCTCAGATGCCTGCTACAGAGAGAGGAGGCTGAAACCAAGCACCCCTGGGCAGTGGGAAAGTCAATGCTTCAGCAAAGGCTGCATGTCAAGTCACTGTGGAATTCAGAACTACAGTTTGTGGTGAAGTTTTCTGCCAAAGAAAAATTCCTGAAAGTTCCCCCTCTTCACTATTCCCCAGATAAACTTGGAACGAAGTGGTTTCATTTATCAGGACTTATCTGGTCCCAGGGCTGGTCCCTATTCCATGATTCTGTAACTCTATTTTTGACAGAGGCTGTAGGGTGGCTGTGGCTGTCAGACCTGTGATTGTTCTGCAGTAGAAGTGGAAATGCTGTTAGCCCAGGGCTGCCCTGGATCTTGGGCTCAGCCAGAGCCTCTTGAGGTTTCTGTGCTTCCCTGAGGGGAGGCCAAGCTCTAGCAAGGCTTTCAGTATTTCAGTTTGCAAGGTGAGTATATTTTGAGGGTGTAGCTCAGGTGGGAACTCTTGAGGTTTCCAGGCTTTCTGCTGGACAGCTACAACTCAGAGATGAGTGGGAGGCAGCAGGGAAGCTGCAGAAGTCCTGATGTCCCCATGCAGACCTGCATGGCTGAGGCAGAGCCTGAGAGGTTGCATTTCCTCACCTGCACAGGCAGCCAGGTGAGCAGGGAGAAAGCTGGGAAATGATTGATTGGTTCCTAAGAACAGTTTCATCAGAGATGGTGGTATTGATATACTGGTGTTTATGGTTCCAGTGATACTTCTTGTACTAAGGCAGGAAAAGTCTCTGAGCAAGATTTTGGGTTGCAGTGCAATTAAGGAAAAAAAAAGCAAAAGGGGGGTGATGAGAGGATAGAGGAGGAAGAAGATAAGAGCAGCTCTTGCTGCAGCCCCAGTAAGGACCACACCTGCTGACTATGAGAGCTGCTTGTGGTAAGAATAACAAGGGCTGGCTGGGTTACACAAGGGCAGGGACTCATGAGACAGGCACTGCTACCCTGGCTGTCTGTCTGACCTCCCATTCCAGCACTCAGGGACTGCCCTTGGGCCCTTCCAGGTGGATTTTTCTTTCATTGCAGGTGTGCACTTTATGTTCACCCCAGAGCTTGTTGCAGTTCTGCATTGCTTTTTAAGGAGTCATAGGTGTGCTTTTGAAGCATCCACCTGCAGCAGTTTGGATTTCATAATGCTTTTTGCCACTTGGGAAGTCTCAGAAAGGAGCCTCCTGTTGTCTGGGTGCTGAGATGTGCTGGTGGTGTGCTGTGCTGTGACTCTGGACAGGCTGAATCAGTGCCCTGCCAGGGAGCTGAGGCTGACACTGATGAGCTGTCAGCCACCCAGGTCACCCTCACTGGCTCCTGGACTGGACACCGGGGAGGAGAGTTGGGCCAGGATAGACTGCAGGTGACTGGAAAAGGAGTTTCATCCCACACAATACCGTGAGGCTGAGGGGCAGGACTCACTCTGGCATTACCAATGCCAAGGCACCACACATGTGCGGAGTTGTGGTGCATAAACAAATAAACAGCCTGGGGATGGGGTTTGTGTGACCAGAGCTGGGCTGGAGTGACATTTGCAAGTTACAAAATGTAATGCTCCTTTCTGGGTTTCACAGAGGAAATGTGGTGGGGATTTCCTTAGGTACATCTTCCCCAGCTTTTAAAATTATGTGGTTTTATTTGAATTTTATGCAAGTTTAAAAGTGATGTTGTGCATAATTCAAAAATTCACATGTCCTGGTCTGTATTTTAAACAGCACAGTGCTCATGCAAATTTATTTCCCCCTTGAAGTCTAGTAGGAGCTCTGTTATGATAATTAGAATTTAGGTGGGTTTTTTCTTTCTTTTTTTTTTTCCTTATATCCACAAGCCTCAAATGTACGTGTCACTTATTGCATCTCTGCCATCTCTTTCATGGAGAAAAGGATAATTCTGCCAAAACCAGTCTATAAAGCAGGGTGAGAGACATATATTTGAGTAGTAGCCACAGAGAGAATTTAATTTTCATTATTTTACAGGATGTAAATTATACAAAATAAGGGTGCCTGCAATTATTCAAAATTTCAGCTAAGGCCTGAAATAATTTTAATGTACTCAGCACAGATGGAAAATGAGGGCTTGTTCCTGCTGCTTTTGAAGTTAATGGATGTTTTGTGATTGACTTTTAATGAGAGTAGAATCCAAACCATGGTTATTAAATTGTAAGCCCTGTGTTGCCTGGTGACAATCAGAAAACCTGCATTTGCCTAGCAGAGCAATTAATCTTGGAGAAAATTAAAAAGCACACCCCAAAACTTTCTGTGTAGAGTAAGATGAGCTCAGCACACAGGAGACTGAAAATGTAAATGCTCATCACCCAGAAATGGTTACTCATTTTAATGATTTCAGTATCTCCAGAATCCAAATAATGCATAAATAAGAGCATCTTACTTCAGTATTTCTAGTGTAAAAGGGAAAAGTAAAATGAAAGATTGAAGGCATCCTAAAACAGCTGGCAAGAACATCAGCCTGAATGAGATGTGGTACCTCATGGCTGCTGTAAACCTTTTACTCTCCAGAGTGCAAGACTCGGGAGTGATACAGCTGTGAATGATGTAGAACTTTGCACAGTTCCTGTACAGAATTTCCTGCTAGCATTTACTGTTTGTTTTTGTCATTAAAAAAAAATTGGTTTGTTTTTATATTATTAAGGGGAGTTCCCACTGGCTCTGTTATCCACCCTGAAAGGAATTATCCAAATGAATACCAGAAGTGTGCAGGTCTGATACATGTTGTTTTCATCCTTTCCCTCATGTCTAGCTCTAGTTCAATGCAATAAATCACCTTAAATATTTTTTCTTCATTAGTGAATTAGTTCTTCAGCTGTTTGTAGCCTTGCAGCTGCCTCCTTACGTGTTATTAAACCAAACTATAAATATTCCACTCTTTCCTATTAAATTAGTCCTTTTGCTGTTCTCATGACTCATTTCTGTTCCTATGGGAATTGCACATCTTGGATCCTCTTTGGAGCCAAGTGGTTTTTCACCCTGGTGTAGCTATCTAATGTGTCTGCTTTGGTAAGACAAGTGGCATAGCCATCATTTCAGTCATTAAATGCCTCACAAATCCAGGAAGAACTACAACAAACACTTCTGTATTTCTCTGTTCTGATTTTGAGGTCTCTAGAGGATTTTACAGCTATTTCTTTTTGCTGGGATGACTCTATGCCCAGAAAAATATGAATTATTTTATGCAAAGAGATCTGGGTTTTGTGTTGGGTTTGGTCACATCTCTGAGTGAGTCTCCAGGGTCCAGCAGACATCAGCACCTTTTCAGCCCTGACAAATCTCATTCTCTGAGACAGCTGCAGCTTTCTTGCTTCCCCTGAGTCGAGTCAGCTTGTGGTACACCCATGTCAGGCTCTGAGATCAGGTGTGGGAAGCCTCAGCTTGTTCAGGGGATGGACAGAGGGGTGGTGGGAGGCTACTGGGGCTGCTCAATCTGTGGGAAGCTGTTTCCAGGCTTGAGTTTCATTCCTTGGTGTAGTGAATTAGTAGCTAACCCTGAGGCTGGGAGCTGGGTGGGCCATGTCTGGCTGGTTGGGGCCCAGCTCCTCAGTGGCCACAGCCAGGGGGAAGAGATTTGCCCCTCACTAGTCCAGGGCCTGCCTTTCCTCTTCCCATGTGGAGAAGCAGCAACAGTGAGAAAACCAAAGGTGTGGACATCTCTGATGGCAGCCAAGGGACACTCACTAGAAAATGAGGACATCTCTCTTACAGGATTTCCAGGCACCTGGGGCCTTTCTGAAATTAGCAAAAGCAGAAAGCTGAAGATTGGGAGCCTGAAATGCCATCAAATTTAAATATGGAAAGATTTATTCTTTATGGCTGTGATATGGGAAAACTCTTGTTCCTGATTTAAAGCATGTGGGACAAATTGTGCTTAGATTTAAGCATGTGTTTGAGCTTTTTCTTGGCGTTAACCCTGTTAGCTCACCAAGTCACAGATCATACATCTGTAGAACTTTTTGACACGACAGAGTGAGCCCAGATATTAATGTCATAGTTTCCAGGGCTTCATTAACAGTTTAAATGTATTATTTAGGATTCCAATAAAACCACTGTTGTTTTGAATGGGTTAAAAAATAGAGATGTCACTTTCATAGAAATGCTGTTTCTTAAATAAAACAGATTAATCCTGTAATTTATAAATTACATACACACATGATGAAAAGCTTGAGATATTTGCAGCACAGATAGGCAACCTATTGAATGATTTTTTAAAATTTTGTTTTGTAGAATAGATCAGAGCACAAGCATTTCACCTAAAGAAGCAACTGATCAATTTAACAGCTTAAATGAGGTAAGTGTAACCAAAAGTTGAAATATGATGTTATAAATTTTGAATAGATGTTTTGGTTTTTTGTTAATTTCAAGGTCTTGGAATAATGTAATTGCTTAATAATCTTAGATTAGCTTTTTAATGAAAGATTAAAAATGTTTTTGAAGAAAAGCTTAAAAATGTGATATGAGACTGCTAAAATAGTTTGAAAGCTAGAAGCAAGAGATTTTAAATTTTTTTTAAGCCAACTTGAGATTGCTTTTTGTTTATGCTCAGAAAAGAATCACTCAATACTGACTGAGTGAAGGGACAGCTTTCAAGAACGTTTGATTTTTTTTCTCCTATTACAGCTCAAAATAGTTCATCTGTTAAATGTGAACTGTTTTTATGTTATATATCATATGTTTATATGTATTTATATGTTATATGTCATATAAATATGTTTTGTTTAAAAATAAGGAGTTCTCAAGGTTGCTGCATCCTGCATAAGTAAGCTAGGAGCAGTACAATGGAGTCTAAAAGGTGCTCTGGTTGTAAGATGGAAGGAGGGGAGAGCTGAAGAGGGGAAGCAGGGAAAGCCAAATAACGCCAGTGACACTTGGAACAAGCTGCTTTCACAGGGATTGTGCCAGGAGCACAGTGTGGGTGAAGCACAAAAAGCTGTTGGTGTGATCCATTGAAACGTGGATGAGCCTGGGCAAGGTCCTCACAGTCAGCAATGCCCTGGGAGGGGCAGGGGGTAAAGCCAAGCTTTGTGGTTATGCAAAGTGGGAAACCCTAGAAAGCATCTCCCCACACATGGGGACCCTGCACCCAGCACAGAGTCCACTCCCACTGCAAGGACGGGGGGACATGGGACTTACACAGGGAGCATTTGGGTTTTTTAGTGTAGGCCAAGGCAAAACAACAAAGAAAAGAGCTGGGTGAAGAGAAGCCCATTCCTGAAAAACTCTGGGAAAGAAGGCTTTGTTTCCATAATGAGCCAGAGAGCATCTATGTCTATTAATAGATGCCTGACTTTCATTTGGGGGAGACTACAATGTGTCCTTTTAAAGGAATTCAGACCTAATCTTCTCCTTGCAGTGAATTGTTTCCTCTGCATTTTGTGTCATTGTTGTGCAGCTCACTGTAGAAAATCTCAATGCTGACAAGCAGGGCACATTCAGTGACAATACAAGAGAGTACACTCAGCCTCTCTAGAGCCACCTCAGGCCCTGGGAGAAATCATTAAGATATTGTTTCTTTTGAGAAGCCCAAATGCAAATATTCACTGAAGCTTCCGCTTGAAAGCTTCCATTTAAAATCCTTGCGAAGGATTCCTTAAAGGCTAAAAAAATTATTGTAATAAGTCAGGGTAAAATAACAAAACCAATGATTAGCTTAGAAATTAAAATAAATTGTTAATAACCAATGAGGAATGAGCAAGGGTTACAACCTGATGCTTTCTTTTGCAAAATCTTAGAATTTTTTGTGTCTCAGGTCTATTGCAAACCTGTGCCATAAGAAAAATTCTCCTTTTGGAGTAGAGAAAATGGTGTCTCTCTTCACTGCTCACCCGTGGCATTATGCAGACCCAGGGCATATCTTGTTCTATCTTATTGTTGCTTGTTTGTTCCCCATAAAGGAAGTTCTGAATTGAAAATGTCATATGCCTCAAGGCACAAATATTGCCTTAACGGATACTGCAGAGATTTATTTATGTTCACATAAAATGTGCCTATCTTATTTTAACCTGAACTCTCAGATTAAAAAGCTGTTCCAGTGTGACATATAAAAGCATTAATTTCCTTAGAGTGAAAAAATGGAACAGGTTGAATTTTGCTCAGTTTCTTTCCAATATGAATCACTTCAAAGGTTATTAAATGCTGAAAGCTTGGATTACTCTCCTTCTCTGCCCCAGCCGATTTCATAAATCCAGTAAATCCATCAATAAACTGGATATAATAGAATAGCTGCCTTCCTGTCTGGGAGGAGCAGGAGCAGGCCCAGGGGCAGGCTGCAGGCATCCTTTCATTCAGGAACACCGTGTGGAGGTCAGGGTAATATCAGTTTATGCAGGAAGCACCAAGCCTGGGCTTTGCTCCTCACCCTCCTGGCTGAGTCTGAGCAGAGCTCATGGCTGGGGCACACCTGGGTCCTTTCCTTTTCCCTCAGTTCTTAAATCTATCAAACCTTTGGATGTCCACAGGAATGAGACAAAGGATGCTGATAATGCTAATCCTTCATCTGGGAAATAAATTCTTTCTAAGGGCACTTTTTTTCTCATTTGTCACATTGTCTCCTGTCAGGCTATGGCATCCTGGACATGCTGACCAGCACATCCCACAGTGCTGATCCTGCTGGGCATGGTCCTGTGCCATGCCAGGGTACTGCCTCTCAGTGCCACAGCATTTTGGTGAGGAACTGGGAGAATTTGTTCTTTCAGTGTCCCACTCTCCAGAGGGATATAAAGTGTGTGGCATTCATCTAGGTGTGAGAGATTATCTGTTATCTCAGTGATTCCTTGCCCTAAGACCTCCCCTCTTCATTTTCAACAACTACTGGTTGGAAGGAGTGATGATCGGTGGGTCCAGGCTCAGTTGTTTGTAGAGAAGGTGTCTCTACTACATGCTGAGCTTCCTCTGGCAGTGGCAGTCCTTTTGTACTGTGCTTTCTCCAGCACACAAGGCTATGGCACTTCAGTGACTATGTTTTCTTAAAGTATTATCAAAAATAACAAAGGCTGAGAAGGACTACACTGTTTCTCTTCCTGTCTTTCTCTGACTTCCTAAAAATTTCTTCATTTTACCATTATTTGTAATAATGTATCCTTTAGGAGAATTGGCTTAGTTTAAGATCTTTGAATTGTCAGTTGCTTTTAGAGGACATAAGAAGAGATAAGAAACCTTTGTCCAAGACAATTATAATTGCTTCTTTTTCAAACTTTTAGGATACTCTTCTTAAGAGAAAACAATACGGTTATTTTTCCAAGGCAATTTATGGATCCATTTGAGATAGTAATATGTCCTTTCATTTGCATTAGCATGGATCAGGAATTACTGCATCAGAAATCCTCATGTTAGGCACCATAATGAACCTGGAATTAACACCATATCTGAAGTATGTGAACTGAAATCTTAGCTGATATAGGACACCATAGCTTAAATGACTTCAATTATACTGGATTTCCATGTGGGGGCATTCTCAAATTGATGATGATGCCCACCATGGCCTGACTTTTCCCTCTGTGGGTTTCAGCTGTTTACACTGGCTTCTAACATGTTTAGCAACTTCCTTTGACCAGCCCTGAGCAGAGGTGGCCCAGGCAGGCCCTGGGGACAGGTCTGGCCGTGGCAGAGCTGCTCACAGCATGAGCACAGGCTGCTTCTCCCCCAGAGCAGATGTGCTGCCCTTTGCTCTCAGCTGTGTCCCCTGCCATGTTTCCTGGTAATTTGTGGTGACTTTCCTGGACAGTGCAGTGTGGCAGGGCTGTAGCACTCTGCTGTGGTTGAGGATAAGATGGGATTGGTGGTACATTCCAGATTCATTATCTCCCTGGTAACATCAAGACAATCAAAGCTATTTAGTGTTTTTCTCAAATCCCTGTCAAGGGCACACTCATGAAAATAGATAAAGTATTTCTATTATCATTATTATATGATTTTCTTTTCGTGTTTTGGCAGTGGCTGGAAATTTGCCATCCACCCACCTTCCCCAGATGGGTGAAAAATATAATTCAGAGCAACCAAATATAAACCAGCTGGTGAATAACAGCATAAGCATTGCTGAAATACAGTGTTTAACAATGTAGTGTGTGAGAATGCTTTTACACTGAATTTCCCATAAATATCAATGTGTCATAAGGAATAGTGATGCAAAGTGAATGTATCTTCTTGAAATGGGATTTTACTTGTCAAATGCTTGAAGAAACAGTCAATGAAGGTTAAGTCCTTTTATTCACTTACATTTTCCTTACTGACACATTCCTTTGGGTTGTCATCTGTGTTCTCCCTAATTTTCATCAGCTGTTCTCCTGGTAAGGACCATGCTGACATCAGAGTCCTCGCTGGTTTGTAACTGGTACAAAGTGTCATCTTTTGCTAGATGACATTAATGACTGTAAAATTCTGCCTGTCTGTGATAATTCCACAGCCACTTTGTTTGGGTTTAGTTGGGATGACAGACAATGGGAAATGAGGACTTCCCAAAACAGTGCCATATGTATGATGCAAGTTGGCACCCTTCCCTTGACAAGGAAATGCACTGCCCCCTGAAAGCTTTTAGGGGAAAGAGGGTTTCCATAATTTTCCTGAATTTTATAAAAGGAATGAAAGGATAAAGGCAGAAAGTCATCCCTGATCTTCTCAGACAACCAAGCTGATTTTTTTTAACCAAAAGATCAACCAAAACCTCTTTAGTTTTACAAAAGGGGTGCCTTACAACAAAAATTATGCAAAGATGTATAAAACTACTTGTCACGTAGGTGATGTATTCTCACACAAAGGAAATCAGGCCAATAAATTAATTCATTTTTCATTAAATGAATCAATAAATTGGTTTCAGGTGTTTGACAGAGTGAGGAAAAGACTTTTCAGGGTATGAATTTGAGGAATTTTTTTTTTTTGCATCTCAGATTATTTTCTTCAGAAAATGTCCTTCATAAATATGTATCACTTGAGTGACTTAATGTTATACGTACATTCTGTGTGTGCCAGCTGTGTGCTTATTAGGACAGCCTTGTGTGGTTTTGTTTTATGTTTTGAGCTGTATTTCCCTTGAGATGGGGGAGCTGGATGCGTGGGGTGTGGGGAGTGACTCATTTTGCCCAGTCAGATGGTGATTAGGGCTTTCACAGCATTTCCATCACAGCGAGATGCTTGTGTCAGATCGTGCAGCTCAGTGCTGCATGCAGCATTAGAAATTCAGATCAGAGCTGGACCACGCATGGCACAGAGGCTGGAAGTGAGGTGGCAGATAACTGTCCCTGTCATTGACTTGCCTGCAGCCAGTGACAATGATGTGTTGATTTTACCTTTGCAGCGGATCACAAATGATCTGCTGCCATGTAGAACTGGCAGCAGCCCTCATAAAAGCCCTGTCTACATAATGAAGTACCTCTAAAACAGCCAATTAAAAAAAATCTCTCTCCCAAGAATCCCTTGAGTGATCGTGTTGTCAGTAACTCTTTGTTCACTGCTGTGCACTGCACTCACAGGCTGGAGAGGGAGATTTGATTTTTTATGAATGGTAGATGGGGAGGGACATAATGTCATCAGATCGTGATGTCAGCCCAATGAATGAAATACTTCCTTAATGTATTGCTTCAAGCCCAAGAGGAGGGACACCATCTCAGCTTGGCTGCCTGGAATAAATCGCCTCTTGCTGACAAAGTCATCTTTCCCACGTGCCATGAATAATCCATGTAAATTGGGACTTAAATAACCAGGAGTCAAGAAACTCATGGAATAGTGCACGTTTGCTCTCCCCACGTCCTCCCGGAGCTGGCAGTGGAACACCCCTTTGCAGGCGCTGCCGATGGGCTCCGGGAGTTGAAGAGCAATTGCTGATCCCCGTTGTTCTCTACCCAGCCCAATGTTCTGCTTTTGTCTGCAGAATTCTTTGTTGAAGCTGCAAGCCCTGGAAACTGATCTGTGCTCTGCGTTTCTGCCAGCCCAGGAGGAAACTCCCCAGCTGCCGGCACCCAAGGACACAGCCCCTTCTCCAGCCCACAGCAGTGTGCAAGCTGATGGGGCCAGTTGTGGAGGTAAGCCAGCGTGCCATGATGTGCTCTCATTTGCAATTATAAGAAAGCCTTGTGACTTGCACTTTAAAATCAGGCTTGCAGCCCTCTGGGAAACAGTGCAGAGCTAATGCAAAGCACCATTTCCTCCTGCAAAGGCTGTGTAACGTAAAAAGGGGTGATACCTGGTAAAAGAATGGAAATTAACAGCTGTAACTCTCCAGTTTTCTGAGAGGGAATTTTCCTTTTCAGAGAGGTTTTAAGAATCCCAATTATTTTATTTTTTAGTTTTAATCTGTTGTTTTTCCCCAAGTAAATTTACTCTCTTTACTTCCTATGTCTGTATTGTGTGAGATCACCTGCCATATCATGTAATTCTATTTTTGTCATTCTTTTTGTCAGAGCAATATCACTTCATTTCTCCTATTATTGATTTTAATTTAATGCATCAGCAGAGAGATAGCGAAGGTGAGTTTTACAGCATGTGGATTTTAATCATTCATGATCCTGTATTATTACCCAGCTGGGCAAACTGTGGTGTGTTATCTCTCCCTCTTCCCTCAATAGAGAAATAAATAGCCCTAAGGCTCAGCACTGTTTTTGTCAATTCATGGCTTGTAGTCACAGGGCTGGCAGAGTCGTGATGCTCAATAGAAGAGGAGTCACTGCTCGTGAAAAATAGGTCAAAGGCAGTATGACTAATACATCTCACAGACAAGTGACATGAATACACAAATACCTAAGTCGTGCACCATGTATGGTTCAAATTAAGGCAGGTAGGTCAGTAATCCCTTTGCAATTGTTGTTTCATATCAGAAAAAAAATCTGGGTTAAGAAGAAATTATTTAGGAGCTGCTTGCTCAGCATTTTCAGCAAGAAATAACATTGAGTTATTTACAAAAAAATATTATAGTGTTACACGAATGATAGTGTTCCACTTAAAAAATTTCAAAGTTTGAGGTTGGCACTGGAAAAATCAAGGAATTATGCATGTAAAAATCAAATTATTATGAAGATGAAGGAATCTAAAAATGCTAAATGTCCTGTTTTTGTTTTCTTTTTAAAAAGAGGATGTGTTAGTCCAGCCAGGCAAATACTTTAATAGCTCTTGAACACGGCTATGGAGCCTGGACTGGGCTAACCTTGATGGGGATCTGAAGCAGAAACAGGTCTGCAGGTCAGCATTTGTGTGCTGCACAGGAAAAGACCTTCTGCAGCTCACCCAAAATCTGCACTGACTCCTTTCCTTTGTGTCAGGGTGGACAGCACCTTGTAGTTTGCTGCATTATTTTGCTCTGGCGGTTTCATAGTTCATTGCTAGGATGGTTCTTAATTGTTTCCCCACAATAATTTTTTGCTGTTTTGATTGGATTTTCTTTTTATTTATGCTGGTGGTGACTGCTGCTTCCAATCCTCTCTCTACTCCTATTTCCCCTCTGCAGCCACATGGGGAAATGTTGCATGATGTAGCATTTCTCTTGCTCAGTTTCAGAGCATGCTCTGCCACTCCAGCAGTTCAAACTCGTGCTTTAGTTAAAGCTTATCTATTTAATGGGTTTTAATGTGCCCTCATTCCTGTTAACATCTGCTTTGTGGTTTGTGGCATTTTTAGTAACTTGCCATTTTGCACAGACAGAGCTGGTCCTAATTCTGTCTCTTAAATTACTGCTGAAATCTTCTGATGCATTGAGCTGTCACACTATTGGCCTTTTGAGCTCCACCTTGGCTGGAAGTCCAGGGATTTGTACCAGGCTGAGAAGGGAGTTTCTAGAGGATGTGCCATATGTGTTCCATCTTTAATTATCAGCCTTTCCTCAGTGGATATGGGAAAATTAACACAATCCTTCCATTTGCATCCCAGTCAACAAATTTTAGAAAAGTATACATCATATGTATGGAGAATGAAGGTACAACAGAATAGTAAGATGACAGGGTGCTTCAGGATGTCAGTTTTAAGGGGATGAACAGTAACTTATCTCTGAGCAAAGTCAGCAATTTCCAGTTTACTCTTGAATATGTGAATGCTGAATTCAAGTTGCCAAAGTGAGACTGTAAAGGGTTGAGATGGGTACCTAAATTAGTTTTTTAAAGGGGTAATTATAGAAAAGTAGGGTGCAATTTCTGTAACTCCTGGATATGAGATTGCATCACATAAGTGCCTGCAGCAATGAGCAGCTGAACCTAACTACAGGAAATGACTTCTAAATGACTTTTAAATTAAAAATTCTGATAGAGGCATTCACAGATGTAATGTGTTTAGGACTGAACACATTACATCTGAGTATAATTTTTTCTATACAAGAGATTTCTGTGTATTATTGTTTCACTTGAAGAATATCACAGGCATAAATACAGGCTTGTACCATAGCACTTGTCATATGAAGTCCACCTGCTGAACCATGCTGCAGATTATCAGACACTAGAATTTGGCTTTAATTCCTGTAGTGTTCTCCTGTCAGTGTGAAGCTGCATGGAGTAGATGGGATGGAAGAGATGCTAAGGGACAAGTCACTTGCCTGGGTAGAGGTGGCTTTAATTCCCAGTTTTGGCAAAAATAGAGGCTAAAATTAGACAAGATACATGAAGACAGGTAGAAGTTTGGTCAGTTAATGGGCTACCCTTAGGATAATATTTAGGATAATATTTAGTGTCTTGTTTAGGTTCCACACAGAACTGGAATCAGGATGATGGCCTTAAGTGTTAATTAAAAATGGAGTTGGTTAGAACTTGTTATCACCCTGAGATGTCCTAATGTTTTAGTACTCGTGCCACTGAAATTAATCAGTCTGAATTATTTGCCGACCACTTCTGACTATTTGGTAGTAATTTAATGCTAATTAATCCTTCTAATACTACTAATACATCTAGTAGAGTTGGAACTAAACCCTTTCTTGGGCCATAGCAAAGTTGCATGAGTATTCAAGCCTTGTGGACTTTGCTGTCAGAAGGCCAAGGAAATGAAAGTGCCTTGGCTTTTGGGAAATATTCCCAAATTATAAACAGGCAGGTTGTCTCCCATTTGTTTGCTAGCAGAATAAAAGAACCTCCTTGAGCTTTGTGTGCTTGGTTTTACACTGGAGCTGCACCAGCCCCTCCTTTTCCTGTGTATTTATCTTCCAGGAGTGCTAAGTCCTGAACGTGTGCATTTCTTCCATTTCTGATCCTGGGCTGGGCCTATGAAATGGTCTGGCTGTAGATGTGAGGAGCAGCAATGTCTATCACCATATGGTTTAGCAGTGGTACAGGCTGTCTCCTGTATGAAGGACATTTTCAGGTCCACAGGAAGTCAGAGTTCAAATAGAAAGTTATACCCTTATCAAACACAGACTAGCTGATCTTTTTATCACATCATTTTCCTTTCACAGTGAGGGCACTGCTACTTAATACTTATTCCTTGTAATAACAGAACATGAAAAACTGTGCAATTGTTCTTAGTCAACCTATTTCCCAGTGATTATGTGTTTCTTGGAGTTCAAAGATGGTGAAATTAAAGCAAGGGAAGTCAGGTTCTTCTCACTGACAATACTGGTCTTCAGACAAAAACAACCCAGCAACAACAACAGATCAAAACGTAAAGGTATTAATTTTTAAAAACTTTACAGGGTAAGGAACGAGGGAACACTTTTGTTGCAAGACACCAATTATTCCAGCCATTGTCACTGCCTGTTGTCAGTGTCCATGATTGCCCAGGACACCTCAGTGCTCCACCCCTGCCTCTCCCAGGTGCCTTCCTGGGGTCTCTCTGTGGGAGGATTTGAATCTCTTACAAGGTTTGGGAGATCTGGGTGTTGCTCTGGTATCTTGGAGAGCTGAATTTGACCTACAGAGTGTGAAGTACTTAGAGGAAGGATGCAAGGTTAGAATTAACAATCAACTACATTGTCTCATTCTGAAAATGCTTAACATAATTATAATTGATGATGCTGGTAAGAATAGATGAGCTTGTAAATACAAGAGTCGTGTAACTTTTGCTTGACAGACTAAACTGTGATTATACAATATACAATAGGAAGTTTTTTGTTGTTTGTAAAGCAAGAGCAGTTGGATAGTGTCCAATAAAATTATATTTAAGCCATTGTATTTTCTATTTTTCAGAGAAATATAGGTTTGGTTTTTTTGGTTTTTTTTTTGAAGGGTGCCATTCAGACCTGATTTTTCACCACTGTCACAGTGTAGCAATAGGGATTTGCAGTTTTGGTATTTGTTGGAAAGAGGGCAAATAAAATGTACTACAGAGGTTCCATTCAAATCCTGGAAAAAATACTCACTCAGCATGGGAATGTGATGTCCCATGTGCAAAGCAGAAAATCAAAAGTGAAGGTAAAAGAATTTACCTACACCTGCCAGTTCTTCTGTGAGTAAACTCATGTACAGTTGTTTCTCAGGGCAGTTTTAGACTTCCATTGAATAAAAAGATTCTGTGAAATGTATTAGAATGCATGATATATGGCAAATATATTACTGATTAGAATTGACACATGCTGCCTGGAAATGCAAAATAATAGATATTAATTAAAAAGCTGTATATATGAATGTGCTTAGAAAAAAAAGAAAATAATGTAGCTGGTGCAAAATATAATGTACTGTGGAAACTGCTGTAGGAGAACCTGAGTCAGGGCACAAACTTTGCTTTAGCAAAGCAAGAGAGAAAAAAATTTGAGCAAGAACTTTTATGAGATTGTGGAGTTTTTCCCTAGAAAGCATAATCTGCATTAAATCCCAATAATCTGATAGCAAAAATATTGATTAAGTTTGATCATCATCATGCATTTCACCTACTGAGGGTGAGGAAGAAGATTCAATATTGAATATTGAATATTCCCTTCAATGGACTCAGGTAGAGTACAGGAAGGTGAACCCCTGATGTTCCCTAGGTAGGCCCTGTAATGTGCCATTATTTCTCATACTACCCATAAGCAGAACCTGTGTGATGAGGTTCATCAATTCCTACTTTTTTTCGCTTGACCATCACTAGAAAACAAATTTTACCTTTTAAGGCATCTGTGTTGAGGTTTGCATTTAAACTTCAAGACATTGTTAACACAGTACCATAAGCATAACTCCTCCAAGAAGCAGCCACTGCCCATGACCTTGAGTAAATAAATTGAATGTTCTTGGTTGTGGTTGTTATTTTCATATCTTGTGTTCTTTGAGCCAAGGATATGTTATTGTTATCCAACAAAACCCTGCAGGATGCTGCAAGCAGCCCTGGAGGTTCTTACCACCAGGACATATTATATTTTTGACCTTCCTTTCTCTTCACCAAGGGACTAAATGAAAAATCACAAAATAAAACTTATTGTGGGCAGTCATCGTCTTCTTCAGGAAAGTGGCTTCCAAAAGCAAACAGATCTATGAAAATACAAGTAGTGCTTCTATTCTGGGAAACTCTCCATCTTTACTTCATAGTTTATAAATACACCCATCCACCTCCTCCTGTGGAACTCAGAAGGGATTTATGTGAAGCCAGTGGCAGTACTTCTATTTTCTCATCCTCAGTGCTGTGTCCACCCTGCATGCAACACTTTGCTGATCTGTTTGCTGCTCACTTTGAATACTTATGCTTGGAATACTTCTGTAAAGACAAATTTTTATTGACCTAGGTAGCTGTACCCCATGTGAGTGCCCCTCAGTCCACAGTGATTTCTACTCTCTTTCTAGAGCCTGTGCCAGCCCACAGGGACTGGCAGAATGACATGGAGAGCAGCCCACAGGAGCATCACTCCCTAGGGACCAGCCGGCTGCTGTATCACATCACAGATGGAGACAATCCTCTCTTGTCACCACGCTGCTCTATCTTTAGCCAAAGCCAGAGATTTAATCTAGACACAGAGTCTGCCCCTTCTCCACCAAGTGCTCAACCTTTCATGATGTAAGAAAATCTATTTTAATCCTTATGCATTTTTAAGACTTTTTCTGCAATTCACAACCTTTGACTCTTCGTGGGTTTTTTTCCGTTGTTGCTATGTAATAAAAAGGAAATGTTTTTATTGTGGTGTATTTTGAAGTGGATGATTTGCAACACCAGAAATAGGAACTAGTGTTTCCTCAGTCATAACAGTGTACAATATTTTTTTTGAAGTCTTTGTTAATTACAGTTAGCAAGGACAGTTTTAAATGTTAGTAATTAGAATGACGAGTGAGCACAAGATAGAGAGGGCTCTCTAGGTATAATACTAAAAAATTCAGCTGTAATTGAGCTGTAGCTTGAGTCACTGATGAGAGGTGACAGTGGCATAAAGCATATGAACAGTCCTTCTATGGGATTTTCTGAAACCAAGCTGTGAGTTTCAGAGATAAATTAACTTTCTTAAAAGCTGATATGCAGAGCTTTAGCTTCAGCTGCATATGGATAAGAATCATCTCTATTGACTTGTAACTGTAAATAATCAAAAACTAAACTGTCTTCCAAATGATAATGTTCATTTCCAGTAATGAAAAACTCCCTGAGCTTACTTTTACAAATCATGTCACCATAATCTCATGTTATACTTGAAAGATTTGTGAATAAAGGTGTGGGTGTTAAATGTAAATACTGGATCAAGCTTTTGCCTACTAGATTAATTTTTTGAAATATATTCAGAAATCCCACGATTAATTAAAAAAAAAAAAGAGAGAATGAAAGACAGATGGTGAACCCATTAGAATACTCTAGGGGTACCTTCAAGCAAAAGCAATTATTTTATGCTTACTTTATAAAACTAAGTAGTCTCTATCCAGTGAAAGAGTAGAATAGCCATGAATTCTGGAATGCTAAGTGTGAAGTGTGCCTGAAAACAAGGCAGGGTCCATTATAGCCAGCTCTTGGATCCCACAAAACTGCTTTTGGCTTTTGCAGGCCAAGAAGTTCTTCCAGGTGTAGCTGTGAAGACTGCAAAGAACCACAGACAGTAACACAACTTACCAAGCATCTTCAGAGCCTCAAGAGAAAAATTAGGAAGTATGAAGAAAAGTTTGAGCAAGAAAAAAAATACCTGGTAAGACAATAATTGAAAAGGTAAGTACTCCAAGATGGAGGCAAGAATCCCAGTGTATTTAAACAATTATTTATTCAAAGCAATATGAGATAGGGTATTTCTGGTAAATTGAAATAGGAAAAACTTCAATGAATAGCTTTTCAGCATCTTTCAGTGTATGCAGTAGTTCTGAGACTTTTAATTTTCTTTGGATTACCTTTGTTGCAAAATATCCATCTTTGAGAAGTGGGAATCAGTGAAACACCGCTGACAGGCTTGTGAAACAAAATGATGCAAAAGGTGGAAAGCTACTTATTTGCTTTGTAGGAGTCATTTGCCTGGAAACTTGTTCTGCTGTGCAGATCCCTTCATTCAGGCAGGCTCCTATGAACCTCCAAAGCCTGGGGCTCTGTACAAGCTGATGGTAAAAATCAGAGAAATAAAACTTGTGGGGGTTGTTTGAGGTCAGTGGTGAGTGCTGTGCTGGGAATTGTGCAGTATAAGAATATTAAAACATACCTGATGCTAAGGAGGTGTACAACACAAATCAGGGAAGTTTGTGACATTTTCTGACTGTATTAAAATTAAGCAAATGATATATTACCTTTTAATCCTGTTAATGGCCAAAACCTTAAATGTGTGCACTGTTTGGCTCTGTGGGCATCATAAGCTCCTAGGAGGACAATTTCATACCTAAACAACTCTCACAATATGGTCAGAAAAGAAATTATTTCAGAAGGTGGATTTTGTGAAACTGTTTTGCAATTTTATATACCTGAGTTTTGAAGATTCAGCGTAAATTCTCTTTAATTTGCAGGCAATTTCTAAATGCAAAATAACCCCTGATCTACAAAGCCTTTGTTGTTTGTTTCTTTTGAAATCACTCTTGCACAGGATTTTTCATTTGATTAATTAAGCAGGTCAGTTGAAATTCTGAAAATGCTGCTTCCCAAGAGCATCCTAGTCTTATAGTAAGAGTTTATTCCTGCAAAGGACAGAGAGCTTCAGTTACCATCCTGGAAATCACTTAGGAACTTGACTAAAATTAGGTATTTGATCAATCCTTTTGAAGTCACCGAGGTTATTTATCCAATTAGTCAGAGACTGAAACATTCAGTGCTGTCCTTTTTGGGATCAGAGACATAACACTCAGATCCTTGTGGCACTGTGTCACAATGGGGAGAGATAAGCCATGACAAATTAATGCCATGATCAAGCCAGATGCCCTGCATGGCTCTGATAGAGTGCAGTCAGAAGTGCGGACATTTTGTAGCACACTGGGGGTGGGGAGGGTTTTATCTGTTTGATCCTTTAACTGTCAGTTCCTTCTCTTTCTTTACATTCTTTACATTTTCCTTTGCATTCAGCCTTCTCATGGTGACAAAACTTCCAATCCTGAGGTTCTGAAGTGGATGAATGCTCTGGCCAAAGGTCGGAAGCAGCTCAAAGGTATGTAATAGAGTGTTCTGTCCCTTTGCTGCTGAGCCTTTTGGAAGGGGGAGTGTACCTGGAACCTTTTCAAGTCAGTTTTCTAACCTCACTGCTCTGCTTATTTTTCACAATGTGTGGCAGTAAGTCTCCCAATGGCAAGAAAGATATTATTATGTGATATGCCCTTTCTTGATTCCTGAAAGCAGGGATTAAAGTGAGCCAGTTCAGCCTCCATACCAAGGCTGGAAAGGGGAAGGGGGAAAAGCCATCATCTCTCCCTCATCACTATAAACATTCATGCAGAAGGCAGTGTTGTTCTGAGCACTTTCATGAGGGTCTAAAACACAGAAGTTAAAAGTTTCCTTGTAATAGCACAAATGTAGGTGCAACTGTTTCTTTATGACAGAGGACACACATTACTAAGGATTTAATTTATTTTGATCATAAAAACAGATCTTTCCTTGATAATAAATTTGGCCTTGAGGGTCAGGTTTTGTCCTTGACTGTCTGCATACCACTCCATTAATGTCTGTGGGTGTATCAGATGCTTTCCCTTGGGGAGTTTGTAGCCAAGACTGATTGATTTTTTTTTTTTTTGAAGGCTATTTATAATTCACTAAATCCTTTTTTTTTTTTTTTTGCCCTGTTATAAATGGATTCTCACTACTAAATAAATTGTAGTATTATCTTTCATCTCTGTTCTGGATGTAGTTAATAATGTAGATATAGAGGATGTGATTGTGGTAAATGAAGAAGTAGAAACTCGTCTTTCAGTAAATTTCTTCTGGAAATTCCCCCTTGAGTACTATCCTGTCTGACTACTAGATGATGATGACGATGATTACTATTATTATTTCCCCTTGAACTCTGTGTTGCAAATACAGGAAGGACAAATGCAAAGAAATGGCCAATCTGCATGGTTACTTTTCTGAAGATTGTATCTCTGATTCAACCACTCAATCTCCTGTCCAGTGGGTCTAGGTTTCATAGATCAGCCTCACCTTCACACCCCAAATGCCTCAATCCTGTGACAACCCTTGATTGTTATTATCCTGGACAATGGCAGTGCTTTTAAATGAAGCCAGATTCATGAGGTTCACATGCCAAGTACAACTGAAATGGAAAACACCCAAATGTTTGTAGATCCTTCTTTAAATTTGCAAGGCTTGTCTATCCTTTCTAACTCTATGGGTTTACTAAAAATTACTGGTTTTCCCCACAAATCTGGCCTATATCCTCAGACTGTCACAAATAAAAAATTATGTTACTGTTTCTGCATGGATTTCAACAAATTTAACACAGTTGGAGACATCAATCTCCTGCCTTGCCCAAGGTCCTTCACCAGACAGGCGTTTGCTTGGAACAAAATCTGGTTTTATGGGAGCTAATTCAGATTTTAATTCAATTTCCTTGTTGCTCTGTGCAGATCCCTGGAGCTCCAGGGGCTTTGGCTTGGTGTCAAGTTAACAGAGTCACACATGCTTTATCACATCCAGGCAGGCTGCTGACTGGGAAGCTTCTGTCTTCAGCTGGGGTGCTCAGGTGCTCTTCTGCCAAGGGAAGTCATTTAAGAAAGGGGTGGCTTCTCCTTGTGAGGACCACTTGAACACCTGGGTTGGCATGGCAGGGTGACCTCTGGAAGGGAGAGGGACAGTTTAAATTGCTCTAGGAAGCAAAAGATGTTACATATTAAAGTGAAGTATAATTACTTTCCTACGTGCCTGTGGTATGATAATAATTGTTAGCAAGGAGTAGGAAAGTTTCAGGTTTTTTTCCCTAGTAGTGTCACAGAAAACTCCTTTGCAAATACTTCTCATCTATTTACTTGCCATGCAATTTGCCTTTCAGAGCTGAAACTCAGAATGTCAGAAGAGCAAAACTGTACGTCCACAGTGTCCCAAAGAAATGAGCAGTGTGAAGGCAGTGGCACCTCTAAAGAGGCTGGCACACAGGAGGCCACCAGCATGGAACCAGCTCCCTCTGTGGAAGAAACCATGGACAGTGTGTTGAGACGACTAAAGGAGAAAAGACAACACTTCAACCTTCCTGAGACTATTAAGGTATTTAAGAAGCATGGCTGCTCCCTCAGAATTCTCCCCTGAGGCAGATGTTAGTGTGGCTGGCTCAGGGTGTGCCAGGGAGTGCTCATCCTCTGTCTGCTGGCACTGCAGTGCATTTTCTCTCTAGTGAGGCGGCAACTCTAGTGCAGTTTCCAGAAGTGACTCTTCTGAGAAGAATTGCTGAGGTGCAGAAGGCTTTTTCAAGCAGTGCTAAGCATTTTCTGCTCAAAAAACTGAGCATGTTTCTGCTCATGTGAAACTGTTTGCCAGGCACTGCAGGAACCTGCTGACTTGAGGCTGTGTGCCCAGAACTGCATATCTGGTGTTCTGAAAGTGGCGGCAGCACAAGCACCCTGAGTCCACAGAAACTGTGGCTAAAAACATTCCTGAAGGTATTTGATGATAAAGATCCCCTCTCAGCTGAGAAATGCTGAAAGCCTCTGTGGAGTCAGTAGCGTGCACTGAAGTGACAGGGACAGCACAACTGCTCAGACTGCTTTGCTCTCCTGACCTTGTACATTTGTGCTGATCCTGCCTCTTCTTTCCCATGTTCTCAATTACTCTTCTGAATGAAGGAGCAATATTCCATGGAACATGATTGCTTGGCTGGGAAATCAGGTTTTTTGTTTTAAAACCAGAACATACATTAAATTTTTGCTGTGCCTTCACATTCCTGGCACAATATGGGGTTTTCTAAAACAGTAGGTACCACCCAAACCCCCACTCTTCTGGGGGCTGTTTTTGCTGTCAGAGGATGTTGCTGTTCTGATGCTATTACCACCAAGCAGGACAATAAATTATGCCCTCAAAGGTACCTAAAGTCTAAGTGTTGACAGTAACATTTAGACTTTGGCTGGTGAATTAGAAAGGTGAAGGGGTGAGAGGGTGAAGAACTAAATGCTAAACTATGTGAGAACTAAGAAATTATTCTGGGTGGATTTCAGTAGCAGAGAGTACCCAGCAGAGACAATTTTAAATTTTTGTTTTGTTTCTATTCTTGGTTCTCAAAAAAGTAATTGCTATATAAAAACCAGGACTATGCATAACAATGCCATGCTTCTCAGATCTTGGGTGCTGCATACATGACTGATTTTTTAATTGTTTCTTTTTCTGTGCTAATTTTTTAGAAAGAGAAATGAAATGGAAAATGTGTTTCATAACCAGAAAACAAACAAAAAAGCAACAAAACCATGCTATTCTGTATAAAGCTCTAACATCCTAACAGCACAGACTGTAGGATAATATTTTCAGTCATTAATTTTTTTTATTAATGGGGTGAGATCAGATGACACCAAAACAAATGTCTCTGACAAAATCCAGTTCAAAAAACTTTCTTATAAAAATAAGTGGGTATCTGTCCCACTCATTTTTCAATTTTTTTGAACTTCCCCTAATTTTCTAAGAGAACCTTCTAAATTTAAGAAATGGCAATGCAGACTTGGAATATTCTCACAAACAAGGAAGCAATATAAATTAGATGTTTGCACATTACAATATTTTCAATTTTTTTAGAACAAATCTCATTTTCTTTTTGTTTTCTTATGGAGAGAACTTGTGTTTTAAAAACTATCTGTTAGCAAAGGTGCTTGGTAATAGTTATCAAAACTGCTGGGGAACAGAGGCTTGAGCAGGAATAACATGAAATCAAATTGATCTATTCCAAAATGATATATTTTAGTAGCTCCCTAAGCATAACATCAAAAAAGATTGGATTTTGATTATGAGTCATCCTGGACTTTTGGGGGAGAATGAGGTTTGTGGCACCAATGATGTGAAATAAATCAAGGATGTCTGTGGTAACAGCAAAGATCAAAGGCTTCATTTCAGCTACAAACAACTTTGGTGTTACTGTAGATGTATTTTATGTGCAACATTTTGTTTTCTATATAACATTTAGATCCTGCACTAGAATCTGAGCTAGATTAATAGTAAACTAAGCAGCAGCTAAACTTTTTTTTTTTTTTTTTTTGATATTTAGTTATTTTGGCCAAAGATAGCATTTCCATGAAAGCCTGCCAAGTTCTCCCCTGAAGTTCCCTGTGGAAAACCTCTAAAACCCAGCTGAAATACAAGTGGGAGCATGTGTGTCCTTAGAAAAGTGCAGAGTAAGATCCCAGTATATCTAAAGAGTACAGAGCACACGACCTGAATAGGAAACAGCAGAATATGGTTTCCAGAACCAAACACCCCTCCTGCAAAAAGCCTGTGAGTAAAGTCATTGAATGAGAAGGCAAAGAGAAAATTTGGGTTGGCCTGTGCATGGCTCAGTACCCCACAAAGGGGTGGCCACCTGTTCTTGTTTGTATTACATAAATTACCACCTCCCAGTATATTACTGGGAGATGGTAATTTGTGTAATAGCTCATCTTGGGTTTAGCTACAAGGCTTTAGGAAAAAAAATTAGGTTAAGAGTACAAATGTAAGAGTTCAAGAGATAAAAGGCAAATAAACACAAGTTTAGTAATACTGCTGAAAAAGCTGCACCAAATCCCCCAAAAAACAAATCCAAGACGCAGCTCCCAGCTTGGAATCCAGTGTGAGCGTTGGGTGGCTGTGCCGCAGTGCCCCGGGGCAGCAGCAGCTCTGTGCTGCTCAGCTCTGGCTCACAGCCTTTCCCAGGGGAGCAGGGCTGGAGCTGGCCTGATGGGAGCTGGCACTGCTCTATGGAGGTGTCATGTCACTCGTTGCCTTTCTTTATACTTTTTGTTTCTAAGTTTGTGTTAAATGCTGCTTTGTAATGAGCACCACACATCCCTAAGTGGCAGACCAAGGCCCTGGGAACCTGACTCTGTGCTTGCATGGAAACAAAGCACTGCCTTTGACAGGCTCTGGGAAGGCCCAGCTCTCACTGGACTGTCTGTCCTTCTGTCCCCAGTTTGTATTTTCTGTCTGGAAAAACAATAGTGAGCTTCAAGGCATAAGCATGCAGGGAACAGAACAGACTAGTAAGGAAGATAACTGTACACAGCATTTTGTGTGCCTCTGTTCCAAGTTATGAAAACCAAACTACTACCTTATCTTTAGGAGAAGTCCTCCTTTTCTTTCTTTATATATCACAAATAACTTTTGCCTGCTGTATGAATGTTTGCAGCCTGTCCCCCAAGGCTTTTCTCAGACTGGCTCCCTCTATGTATCTGTCTTCTCATCATTGACCCACTTCAGTTCACATTCTCCTTGGCTATGAAGCAGTGTTTCTATTTAATTAGCATTGAATCTCCTGCTGCTGTATGTAGCCTACAGTCCTAAGATGTCTCAGACAATTCTGTAGTTTGTGACTCCAGCTGCCTTCTCTCATTTTGAAATTATCAGCTATTTCCAACTTAGCTGAATACCAACCTGTCTTGAGATTGCTAATAAAATGAGCTTTTGAAATAGGCTCAAATGCTAAGCCCTCTTGAGATCGTTTCTCTTGTGTAAAATCAATATTAATGATCACCCCTTTTCTTCCCAACCACTCAGCTGCTCCAGGCTTAATAGTTTTTGAAAGAATTAACCTCGTATTAATTGCAGAACTAGCTATAAATAAACAAATTGGCTGATTTATAATATTCCTGCATTCTAGTTAGCAGCTCATCTCTTAACATGAATGACAGACGATTTTAGAGTGATTAACTCATGCAGACCTTTTAGGAAAATGTGATTAGTAGTTCTGATTAATGGCTCTGTGCTGTTTTTGCATTTGAGCATCAAAGAAAAAATGTTTTGCTCCTGTTGAAGTTAATAGCAAGGTGCTCTGATATTAGAAGAGTGTCACTTCAAGGCTGATTTATTTTTAAAGGTAGGGTCTAATTGGTAGTCACTTTCTAGTTGTCACTACAAGCCCCCTTGTCATCAGCTCTCTGCAGAAAGGCCCCCTGTGTGTGTGCCCCAAGTCCATGGTTCTTCACATGACTTCATCTCCCCCAAACCTGGGAACACCTGGCCCTAGCTCACGTGGCTCTGTTGTGACCTGGCAGAGACTCTGGGAAGTGACATTCTCTTCCTGTGTGCCTTGGTGTTCTGGCCCAGGTGAAAATAAGCAACTGTCAGGAGCAGGTCTAGCTGGGGAAAGGAGGAGACAAATACCTGTTACAGTGTGTGCTCCCCACAGCACACACCTGGACAGATACTGATATTCACCAGCACTGAGAAATCAGTGTTCTTTTGGTACCAGTGATTCACACTGCAATCTTAGAAGAGAAATAAGCTGTTTGCCATTACAGGTTGGGTTTGCATTATTAGATCTTTATGTTCTACATCTCCTACCAGCCAAGGCAAATCTATTTCTCTTTCTTGATGAATAATTAAAAAGTTGAGGAATGCTCTCTATGAATTTTTTCAGCTTTCTGAGTATTTTGTCTAGAATGGTGGTTGTTCTCATTTTTTACAACAAAACATACTTAATATATATGTCATGTAATTTTGGACTCTGTTCTTGCTAAGTTAATGCCAAGTCCCCATTGACCTCAGTGCAGGCAGAAATAGAATTCATTATTAATGTTTATCTGGGAAGAAGAGATTATTAAACAGATATGTACCTGTACCCTTGTCATGAAATCCTGACTCATAATCTTATAAATAACTTTTTTAAATAGGATATGACAAAAAAGCAAATGGCTTTGGAAAAAATCAATCTTCAGAAATGTCTACTATATTTTGAGAGTATTCATGGACAACCTGTAAGTATGCCATGGAAAGATAGATAAATTAAAAATTATCTAACTTCTCTCACCAATATTTTTGGTATATTAAATATATTTAGATGAATTTTACACAATTAACATAATTTTAGTTATTTGAAACTAATTTTCTGGTAGAAGTGTTGTTTCCTGATACTGATGAATTTGGTTTATATGTTAGAAATTAAAATAAAATAAAAAGTGGCTCTGTATCTCTCCATGATTGGAAAATGCAAGGTTTGAGGATTTAATTGGAAGATTATATATTCACAGGAGATTTGGCTCTGTTATCATGTATGATTAAAATGCTTATCAGCTGAGGAAGGTTTTATATAGGGCACCATCTGAGATATGAACTACAAAATTACATGACCTGTTGTATATGTTTGCCTTTACTACACAGCAGGACTTAAACTATTTCTTAAAATCTCTTCAAGGGACTTCATTGCTGAATGTAGGTGCAAAGAAAAAAATGCCAAAATTGGTGAGATGATGATTTGAAAATTCCACAGCTGAGGAATTTCTTTTTGATATCAATGTCTGTATTCTTGTGAATGTCTGTTTCTGGCTAGTAGTTGTTGTGGTAGAGGAAAATGGAACTTGCACCACTGTTTGTTGAAAATTATGCCAGCTGTTAAAATTATGATCTGTTTCTGACCTCCTTTTTGCTTATATTCTTTGGGCTTGGAATGAGAGCTGAGGGATGGAGTGAGTATGCAAGAAGGGTGTGAAGAAATTATATTTCCTAAGAAGGAAAAGAGAAAAAATAAATTATTAGTGACATGTAGCGATAAAAGAGACTTGATTCAGAAATAGGAAAGAGAATAACAGGCTGCCTTTGCAGCAGAGGGTTCAGAGAGTGTGTTCTGAGGGCTGAAGCAGCTCTGTTACAGCAGCCTTGAAACACAGTGCAGTGTGCTGGGGCTGATGTTTGCCCTGTGACACCTGGTATGCCTCAGCAGCATCTTTATCCAGAATTACCTGACAAGGTCAGACACAGAGACCACTGAGCAGGTTTAAAGCAAAACAAATTACCTCTTCTGGCTTGTTTGGCATTCCCTGGAGCTCTTACGCGTTGTAGTTGAATGGAACATGATGCCTGGGGAAGAGAAGTGGGATAAACAAGCCCTGACCTTGCACAGTGAAGGGTGGCTCTAGAAGCAGCCCCCAAGCACTCCATCAGCCAGATGTGTGCAGAGTCACCAGCCTGTGATTGTCTTTGCTCCTGCTGACCAGGCATTTGTCTGTCTGAGCAGCTCTGGACTATTGTCTGTGCCATCAGCCACTCTGTGTCTCTTCAGACCTGCCATGTGGTCACTCATCAGAGCTGGGTGCACCTGGGCCTCTCTGCAGTGCCAAAAATCAGTGAAATTGCACCCAGGGGGTGCTCATAGGTGTGGGAGCTGATAGGCAGAGGGTGATGGTGGACTAGGGAGCAAATGACCCTGTTTGGACACTTTACCACTGAGAAAATTGTTATTTTGGGGGTGTAGGGGTGTGGTGGCATGGTGTGGCTAGTTGGCTGGCGGGGAGGGGAGGTGATTTGTCTTGTTTTTGGGTTTTCTTCCCCCTTGTGGAATTTGCTTGCTGCTTTTTCTTTTTTTTTTCTTCTTAGTGCAGTAAGTCAATCAAGTGCACAGCTAGCTTCCTTAAGGCATAGTTTTGTATTTGTGAACATTTGTGGCTGGATCAGGCACTTAGCACCTGATTTAAAATCATATTCCCTTCCAAATCAATGCTCCAAGTGCTCATGAAAGGCCAAGAACAAAGTAAATGAACAGATGGTAAATGCCCCTTGTGGAAGGCAGCTCAGGTGAGGAATGCAGGCAGCAATCCTGCATAGAGGCAGCTCCATGTGCAGCCTGCAGAGCCCTGTCCCAGGCAGGCTGTGCCATTCCTGCTGCTGTCATCACAGCTCAGGAGGTGAGCTGGCAGTGCAAGGCACAGCAGCAGCACACCTGAACTCCTCCTGCTCTAGCAGCAGCCTCAGAGAGAGAATAATTTACCCTCTGCCTGGGCAGTGTGGCTCAAGAAAGTGAGAAACTATACTGGGTATTCTCCATTAGAGAATAGATTGTCATTTTCCTTTTCAGAAATTGCATTGATTAAATTACACTTCCCATGGAATATCTATTGAAGCAAAATACATATCTGCTCATACTCTTCTAATACCTTTCTCAGCTTTACAGGAGATAATGAGAATCTTTTAAATGTACTTTTTTATTTTAATTTTTGAGGGCTATATTTTGTTATGATTTCTCCTTAGGTAACTAAGCAAGAAAAGAGTCTCATGAAACCTCTTTACGACAGATACAGAATTATCAAGAAACTTCTGGCTGCTCCATCTTTGATCACAACAATTGTAAGTTGGAAAGAATTCATCCAATGTCAAGGAAGCATACTAAATGCTGGGTTTGATTCCTACCTGTATGTCCATTTAGCAACAATAGAACTACTGATACCAAAAATCCTGCTCATTGGTTAATACAGGGTGTTGATACTTCAAAATGCTCTGTAAAATTCTACTTCTATGCATGCTAGAGATTCCAATGTACAGCAGCAGTTTCTGAGGCAAGAACTTCAGTGGGCTGGGTAAGACATTGAAGGCTGGCATTAGTTTTCCATTGTGGAAAACATCTGCAACACAGAAGGAAACCTCTCTCTTTCCATGAATGACCCTGCTGTCACTATATCTTACTTTTATATCTTATCAACAATGCTTTTATCAATCATGTAGCACATATATGAAATTTGTAGTACTTTAATATTATATTGGAGCAATGGAACAGTACTGGTTTCATAGTGAGTGAAGACAGTGGAAGTTAATAAGCATCTCTACCAAAAATACTAGTCTAATACTAATTGGGGCTAGGTCAATTAAAAAAAATATTATTGTCTTGTTAGATGACAGTGTAACTTTACATTTCTTTGAAGAACCACAGTGCAAAGCTTGGCATGCTTGCACACAGGTATTTCATTGAAAAATTTCACTGAAATTCCCCCTAAGTGGTACTTGTTAGGACCTTTGCCCTATGGAATTTTTATGTTTAAGCCTTAGTTTCAATAGCTCAGCTTTTTTTTTCTGAGGATGGAGGAATGTGAGCAAGACACTAATATCAGTCTACTCCAGTAGTTAACACTAGTGGCTATAAAACTGTGGAATCTCTTCCTCCAACTCTTTCTACAGGCAAAACATCTGGATATAATATACACACAGGAGATGTGAATATAAGAGGAGTAGAAGTTCCAGCCAGACTGCATTGTTTACATAAATACAGAATGTTAGTTAAATCTTTGCTACATGTAAAGGCTTTTGGGCAGACAGAAATAAATTGCTGGCTAGAGATACTGGGAGCAGGGCCAGCTTCTGTCCTTTGCACTGCTGGTAGGCAATGCCACCCAGTGACCCCATGAGTGCTTTCATGAACAACCTCAGGCAGACCTGGTAAACCTTTCAATATGTGTGTTCTGTTTTGAATACATCCAGGAAGTCAGATCCTAATTCTTTACGCTGTCAGCCTATTACTGGAAGTATTGTAATATTGTATTGTAAACAATTAATTGGATAATGTTTTGCATTTCCCAAGCAGGAGGAAGAAGACTCAGATGAAGACCATTCTCAAAGCAGCCATGAGTTATCATCTGGCCCAATGTCTTGCTTCCCTGTTGAAGAGCACCTGTGTTACTCACAGGAGGAGAGTGAGCCTGCACATATTTCACCTCTGGATGAAAAGAAAGTTTACAGGCAAACAGCCTTGTCAATGTCCAATTTACATGAGGCAACAATGTAAGTTCTCTCTTCCCACCCTGACATGTTTTAAAACATTTCTTGTAGACTTTGTAAGTGAAATATGAGCCTTTAAGAGAAATATGAGCCATACTTGTTGCAAAGGTACATTCTATACAAAGGAGTGATTTAGTGCTTTGTCATGGGAGAGAGGAGGCAGAGGAGATTCATTGTTTGGGCAGTACACTGGTGGTTTGAGTTGTTTATTCAAACAACTTTTTGAAGAGAAAGGTAACTTGTGTCTTCCAGGAACAGATATGTTCTCATACCTTAGGGGATGGTATCTTTCCTTTGATTGAAAGGTCTTAGATGCATAAAATGCATAAATGAAGCTAACTAGACTCTAACACTACAGAAATCAAATAAAAATTACTTAGATTTCTATGTAACTCAACTATGTCCTCAATAGTTTGCTCATAAATTCTGGGAAGATATTTCTGTGTATTTTGTCACTATGCAAAAAAAAAAAAAAAAAAAAAAAAGAAAATTACCAGGAGCAAATGTCATAACAGAATTCTCTCTCTGATTAAACCCTTATTCTCTGAACACTAGCTAAAACATGGCCTCCAAAAATTATGCTTCTGGGTACCACTAGCATTTCAAGTACATCACAGTAATGATTGGGAACAGCTGCAAATAGGAGCAGGGCTTGCATGTTGACTGTAATTCAGTTGCAGCATTTCCTCCTGTGAGATACTGAGCCCTGTCAACTCCATGAATTCCACAGGGAATTTAGGCCAGTGGCAATGCTCAGTCCTGAATGCTTCCCCTCTTCCATCGACCAGAGTCTCTGCCTTCCTTTATTAGCTGGAACACCAGTAAAGGGGAAGGAGAACTGAGTATGGAGTGTGAGGGAATGTCTTGGGGCTCTGGTCAGTGCCTGCCAAGGGCCCAGAGCAGAAGGTCAAATCCAGGGCTTTACAACCCTCCCAAGCACAAGGGGGGTTCATGTTCCTGTCTCTGTTCCACAGGCCAGTTCTGCTCGAACATCTCAGAGAAACAAGAGCTGATAAGAAGAGACTTCGCAAGGCTCTCCGAGAGTTTGAGGAGCAGTTCTACAAACAGACAGGAAGGTAACTCAGCAGAGCCCTCTCCTTGTCCCCTTTGGCTCCTGTTTGTCTCTGTGAGGGTGGACACTCTGGGGTGAGCAGGCAAAGGGGCTGCACCTAAGGGCAGCAAAATACCCTGGAGATGTCTGGTCTCTGGAGATGTCCATCTGTCTCTCTGCTTAGCTCCTTCAAAATGTGGTCATCCATGAGAAAAGCCAGGATTTGGGGATCTTCCAGGACATGCCTGCAATGGGTTTATACCTCAGCAGGATATTCCCTGAGCTGAAGGGAGGCTGCTAAAAGTCTCTTTCTGAGGATGTCAGTCTGCAGGGAATAGACTTGGCAGTTGGGCCATTTTTAAACATCCAGATTTTAAAGCCAGAAGCCACTGGTTTTTTACCCAGAATTAAATACTGGATATTTTTCACTCTGTTTTTCCTCCTCTTCATTTAGCAAACATTTTTGTTGAAAACTGTGGTGTATATGGGCACTGTTAACAGTGGTAACTGGTAACCATTTTCAAAGCATTATTATGACTTCTCCACGTATTTGAGAATCAAGTAATTATGCTTCCACAGCTGTCAAGAAAGTTGCCTATTATATGAAAATTCAGTGTTTTAAAGATGACTTTATTTCTGTATATTAGAGCTTTTTGGTCCTGTCAAATTATCTCAGTCATTTACAGTCAGTAAAAAAACCCAATCCTCATTAGTTGTTGCGGAATTAATTTTTAAGATTGTTCTCTTCTTACTCATAAAAAGTGATGGTGCTTTTATTTGTTTTTCATAGGAGTCCTCAGAAAGAAGATCGGGTACCTATGGCTGAGGAATACTCTGAATACAAGCACACAAAAGCCAAAATCAGGCTCCTGGAGGTTCTCATCAGTAAGCATGATATTTCCAAAACAATTTGAAGTGAATGCAATGCTGTGATACTGTTCTCTAGGGAAAAAAATATCCAAGCAAACAAACAAGTAATGAAAAAGAGAAAGTAATTTTACAGGTCTTGGTCTGCTGCACGATTATTTGACACACTGAGATTTTTGATGCACTTTACCAATTATAATAGCTGTGATGAGAGAGGACAGCAATATGCAAGAATATTAAGCACGGGTGAGTGGAATATAGTATATATTTTTCCTTTTGAAAAAGCCTTGAAGTGCACTGTGAGAATGTTAAGAAATTAAATGGATGCTGAAGTAATGTAGATTCTCAGTTTGACCTGCTCTAAAAGTGTGAGGAAATGTTCTGGAGGTTTTTAGTACATCTTAGTACATGCTAAAGTGCCACACGTTTGTTTCCAGAATTAACATGTGTTATAATTAATTAGTAACGTTGGCTATTAGGGTGCTGATTCACTACATTGAAAGAAATGAATTTGAGGGAGTGAAGGAAACACTTAGAACATACTCTAGCTGTCAAGAAAGAGCTGCCATTCAATTCCAGGGGCTTCAAAGAAAGGTGCATAGGAAGAACAGTGCCAGGGCTGGGAGCAGAGCAGTGATGCTGCTTATGCAGGAAAAGGCCAGAAAGAGACTGCCAGACAGAACTAGTGGTGTTACAGGAATAAGAGAAAGTGCTTGGCAAAATGGAACAGCTGCAGGTTGCTGAGAGAAGATGGAGCAAATGTACTGGCTGCTGTCCTTTTCACTAGTTCACAGGACATGGCTCACAGAATTTAGAAGTCAGTAAATAGATCAGCTACATGCTAATTTTGATTTCTCTATTAACCTTTGCACTTTGGTTTGCCTGACACTATAACATTTGCTTCTCTAACTACCAAAGCTCGTTTAAACGCATGCACTTTGTAAAATGTTGAAGTACTTGTGTTATAAATTGCCACATATATATATATAAAACAGGACTAGATTACTGCATTATGCTAAGATATTTTGGATAGATAAAGTACATGGTATATAAGTGAGTGTCACAGTTATCTGATGAGGACTGCTAGACTTCTTGTTTACTGAAAATAAGGTTAGAAAATGTTATTTTTCCATTGGAGTTATGCATCTTTCTTAACTTTCAGAGCACCACACTTTGTAATACTAAGGAGAATTGTCACTGTTTATGGTAGGCCATCGGTGTGAAAAGTGGGACTAGTAATAGAAAGATTATCAGCAGGTTTTGTACTAGCAATGAAAAGCAGGGAGTCTGGGAAATTCCTACCCCAGACAGAAAGGAGGGAAGAATTACTTAAAGAAAAAATAAGGGACTGGAACCAGTTGAATCATGTTTAGTGTTTTGCTTTACCTGTCATTTTGTATTGACCACATAGTATAAGCAACCTGTTTTTTTATCTTGGTAAGAAGAAGAAGATTTTGATTTTATAAAGCCTATTATGTACCAACCATGTTTGTATTTATCTAGTATGTAATGGCATGATTTGGAAGATGTACACATCTTCAAGTACTAGGGAGGAAAAAATATGAACACTAAAAAAAGGAATTTTTTATTTTTCAGCCGTTTGTTGTTTCAGTGTACTGATTTAATAATTTATAACTTAACTTTTATGAATCAGAAATGGTCTTCATAAATCTGTTTTAATTAAAGTCATCTAGAGCAACAGGAACAGATACAGAGCTATTTGAAGTTTACAAACTACATCTTTGATAAGGGAAAATGATTTAATGACATGTATACAATTGATATTAAAATGTAATCTATATATTCTATATGATTGTATAATATTTTATACAACAGTACAAATAAAATATTTTTCTATTATATTTATTATGTCGAGACACAGTTTCTGTTTTCAGTTAGCTAATATAAATAACATAAATAACACTGTCAAACAACACGTTGGAAGTGCTGACATCTCTAGGCTCTGAAATTCAAATCATGCTGCAATTACAACCTTTCATGCTGTTCAGTTATCCCAGTACTTGTTCAGTAGTTAAAATGAATGCATATTTAAACACCATTTATAAGCCGTTATTTTTATTTTGCTAAAGCAGTTTATATAGGATTTTGTTATGTTTGGCAAGAAACAGAAACAATTTTTGCAGCATCTAGGTATAAATGGTTGCCAGAAAGAAATCCAGGACTTCTAATCATTTAAAGCATCGGGGGAACAGAAGGGAAAGAGGGAGAGAAGAGATCCTAAGAAGGCTATTGGAGGTTTTGAAGACCGGTAGTTGCTTTTGGTGACAGCGGCATGTGCATGCTTCCGACAGAACTGTCTGACTATGGAAATGGGCAACAGAGGTTTGAAGGCTCCTAAGGAACGAGGGCAGTTTTAACGTCCAACACTGATATTGCAGGTCTTGCAGCTGGGATCTTTCTTTGCATTTGCAGTAGACAAGCTCATTAGTTGGTGACCAGTAATTTCAGCAACTGTGCCAAGGGAGAGATCCACAGGATCAGTGTAAATTACTTCCAAAATAACATCCTGGGCATGATGGTAAACCATGACCCCGTCTTCTTCGTCACAGGTCAGAAATTTGTTATCTTTGATGTTCAGCTGGGGAAGGCGCTGCTTACAGAACTCATCTCCCGGCGACCCCACCGGGGCGATCACGAGGATGACGTAGTGGTAGGCTGTGTACATGCAGTAGAAGTCTCCAAAGTACAAGTTAGTATTTGGGTTGAAGAGTTTTTCAGCTGCAATCTCATACCTGTATCTTCCATAGGGTGAATCTTGGGGTGGCTTGCCAGTGTTAAACTCAGTGTTGCAGCTAAAGAAGATGCCTTCCAGCTTCCCACTGATCGGAGAGCCATGGCTGCCACTGTTATCCTTAACAGAGGGCTGCATAGCATTCCCATGATGCTCTCTACAAATGAAGCACTGGTATTGTTTATTTTGTAACACATAGTAAAGAAATATGGAAAGTTAGGACATCATGCTGTTTAGAAACAGGACTGAAGGGACACAAAGGAAAACCATTAAACTGGAAGACAGGGTTTTTTTTGTATTGACCACATAGTATAAACTGGTTTTTATCTTGGTAAGAAGATTTTGATTTTATAAAGCCTATTATGTACCAGCCATGTTTGCATTTATCTAATATGTAATGGCATGATTTGGAAGATTTAGTGTCAGGGTCTTAGGACGAAGAAAATCAAATGCCATCAGACTTGGGAAGAGCTAGAATAATTCCTGTTCAAGGGGAAAATCTGCTTTTCCAGCCTGCTTTCTCTGTCAGCGGTCTGTGTATCATAAGCAGGCAAAAAAAGCACAAACAAAAAAGCCCCCAGTCACAAGTATCTTTAATTAGCTGATTTGTTCAGACTTACACTACATTTCTAACAATAAACACATGTTGACTATTGCAAGTCAGTCTCCATATGCTGAATATACTGTTTGTTAATAGGTATTTTTAGCATAGGCAGTATATAGTTCATGTAGAACACTGCCAGTGAAAGTTATTTCTGAAGGATGCTTTTTAGAGAGGTTATAGGAAAGAATGTACTGTCTGCCAGTATTTTTTGTCCCCAGATGATCATTTCAAGTCTAATTGGTCTACTGCTGACTTCAATCAGTGCAGAGCTGGGCACAGAGAATTAGGCAATTTGGTTAGTTTCCATTTTGGTTGGTATCCAGCTTCTGCAGTCACTAGTCCTAAGGGGAAAAAAAGACTAACTTTTTTTTTTTTTTAACTTAGCTCAATTTCATCCAGTGAAAAGAAATATACAATGCACAAGTGAATTTTTAAAATCCCAAATCCCAAATTGCATTCAGCAGCATTAGGCTGTGAAATTTAGGAGAATACTCCAAAACACCCCTCTAACCCTCCTTAGCACCTGAGATTTTATGTATAGCAGGGCATTCCCCAATATTTGTGTCCCACACAACTCTGAACATGCTCCAGTGGCAGCTTTGGCTCCCTCTACACCTGCAACCACATAATACCTGAAAGGGAACCATCCCCTTTTGTAAGGAAGTCCTGCAAAACACCATATCTGCTAGGCACCCTTAGAACAATGTCTTTATACTCACTGACATGACAGACTAAAAATGCATGAGGGGCTGGAGATTCTTATGATTTTTATATTCTCCTCTTGCTTTACTTTTACTTTTTTTTGTTTTCTTCTTTCCTTCTTTCAGGAAAGGGGAAAATAGCCAAGAAAGACTGTTCTCGCTCTGCTTCTAACTTGCAAGAGGTCTGTGTAAAATGGTGCTGTGTGGGAGAAGGTTTTGCTTGGTTAAAGTGGGAGGTAGCAGTCAAAGCAAACAAACTCAGTGTATACATTATAAATCAGCTCTGAATCAACTCAGTAATATCTCCAGATGTGATTAGTTTTTCATTATTTGTAATCTCCTCAGCAGCACATCTTTATTTTACTCTAAGATACATTTCAGAAGTTTTCTGAGCCATTCAAATACTACCTACTTATTGTCTCAAGCCCAATTTCATAAGACATTGATTGGAGTGGGGAAGTATAATTAGTATTTTATGACTGAAGAGGTTACTAGGGAGGGAAAAAAGAGAAAAAAAAAAAAGCTGAATAAGCTTAAATAACCACCTGAAACCTCTGCAACCTGAAAAGTCAGGCTTCATTCTGAGAAAGCAGGTTCCATTTCTGTGGCAAGATACTGACATCCAGTGGCCAATTAGGCTAATTATAGGTTGCCTTTTTGGGGGATCTGAGCTGCTTTTGGTACTCCCAACCCAGGCAAGCTGCAGTGACACAAACACCCCTTCTGAGCTCACCTCAACCCCTCCATTAGGGGCTGCTGCTTTAGCACTAGGAGCAGCTGCCTGTATGCCAATGCTACCAGAGCTTTTCCAGGCTGTGTGATGACACCAGAGACCATGCAGGCATGGGATGACAAGGAATTTTCCCTAATAGGAAGCATGTGGGTAGGGCTTTTAACATAGCATACAGACAGGTGTACTGGGGAAGGATTAGCCCTTGTGACTGTGTTAGTCTGTTTCTGATCACAAGACGTGACCATCAGCCAGTTCTGGTAGTTTGGCTTCCCACTGGCCTGGTAAAACAGCTTTTTGTCTCCAGCTCACTAACAGAGGGAAAACAAACCCATCTCTATTGGTGTCAAACCAAGAAAGAACTTAGCAGGAAGAAGAGGAACAGATAGAGTGCAATCAATTGGAGTCACATTTGGCAGAACAAGTCCAAACCCACAGCTATAAATGCACCTCAGTGGCAATTTTCAGCACTAATGGACACAAAGGCAGATGCACTATGATTACATAGCTGAAAACAAAGCAATGTGAGGATCAGAACAGCACAGGCATTTCCCTTCTGTGGTATCCAGCCCAGGATGGCAGCAGTGGTTATGGTTATCGAAGAACCTCAATTTATTCTCTACCTCTACTGAGTTTTGCAGCTGTGTCCCTATGTGCAATGAAATAATCCTTCCAAAACACAGAAAGGGAAGAGCAAGCCCATGCTCTGCAATATCCAACACACTCTAGGAATAAATTAGATACCCAAGACTACAAAGTGGGAATGTTTCCAAATATAGTGGAGTCTGTTCTTTGAAGCTGGATTGCCTTGAGTTGTTTTAAAAACTTTCCATTCTAGGCAGGTACTAGTGGGACACTCACATAGAACTGAAATTATGAGGCCCAGCAGGAGCCCTATCTCCTGATGAATATTAAAGAAGTGCAGTCAGTGGTGCAGCCTTCCAACACACTGCTTACCTCTCATCCATGTTCTTCTAACAGGAGAAGGTTACTCTGTGTGGCTGTTCCTGCTCATGCAGCATGAGCTTTGACTCCTTCTATCAAAAAGTCTGCTTTTCTCTTATCCTGATGTTTCCCACCTTGTGTGGAGGGCACACTGGGTCTCCAGCAGAACAGGGAACCTACATCCAGCTCTCCTGTTTTGTCATTCCAGCTGAAGCATGGTGGTTTAACACTGTCTAAACATAATGCCCTTCCCTCCCCACATGATCTATAAATTAACATTCAGATTGCAGAGTCTGTATAACTGCATTTGGGCATGGAAATAGGATGGTTGTACATGGGAGAGCAAATATTTGAGATGGAACTCTTACATGCAGGCAAACGCCTGTGCATATGGTTGTACACTCCTACTGTCAGTCACCTCACTCTTAATTTCTCAGTACAATGGAAATATTTGGCTACTAAACTCTCCATTATGGTTACAGATGCTTTTATGAGGTTGGAGCCCCTGTGAGTACCTCAGTTTCTGCTTCAAAACAGACTTTTATTGCCTAATGGAGGTGCTGAGTTAAGCAAGGAGAAAGAAACAAGTTGTGTTTTTTTATTTGCCTTCCTCTGAATGGGCTATAAAGCATACAGGCATTCTGCTCCAGCTTCAGCACAGCTGTCTCTATTTACTTATTTTCATTACTCCTTTAATTTGCCAAAGGACTTTGAATATGTTTAGTTTCTTACCTGATATAATCAAAGTATTCTTTGTGCTGATTCCGATAAAAAACAGACAGTTTAAGCATACGGCCTGCAATCACTTCAGCTTTTTCCAATAGCTGTGTTAGGTGAACTTTTGAATAATCTGGAAAGGAAAGACAACCTGCTAGTACAGGGGGCAGGAAAATCCACAACACTCTCCAAAAGCCACAGACACATGAAGACTGAAAACTTGGTAATATACATCACATCATGCCCCAGTTTTCAACAGTGGCAACAAGCAAATCAGATGGCAGGAGCAGGTGTTTGTGATTCTCCCCACTCCTTCCTCATGAAGACTCTGCAAGCTGGCAGCAACTTTCAGCTCAGGATTTCCTATGTTAGAGCTGGTTTCCCTGTATTTGGGACTGCAGTGCAGCTCAGGACTGCAGAGGAGCTCAGGACTGCCCTCTCTGGCTCATATCAGTTGATAAACTATTTGCTACAGTATACCTGGTTGTGAGCCAGTAACCAGGGACAGTACTAACAAAGCTTGCTTAGGACCCAGTTTAAATCCTCAGCTTTTACACAGGCATGCACAGTGACAGCAGGTCATGAACATTCAAAGGAAACCTTATAAATCAAAGATAGGCCAAAGTGACCTTCAAGATGGGGTGTTGATGGTGCTGAGGCTTTGCAACATTCAGAGAAGGCAGAGCAGCAGAATGTCTTAAGCTGTCAGGCAGCTGCCCTTCTACCTTTACCCCACAGGTGCTGGTAGCCAGTGACAGGCACACAGGTGGCCCTTTCCTAGCCTGGGACAAGCAGTGGTGCCAGGCACAGCACTTTGGGAGAGCTAAGCTATGGCACAAGCAAAGGGTAGTCCAGCTGCCTCTGCTTAACAGGCCAAACCTTGGCACATACAAAGCCTAAAGTGTGAATTCCAGTTTCCAGGGGTGACTATTGAAGGGCACCAGCACAGCTGGCACTGGCAGGTGCCCAGCCCAGTGTGGCAGCAGAGGCAGCACTCACTGACTGCAGCCTGTGGAACAGGATCCCTCAGCTGTTACCTGCGGTGCAGAACTCGATGATTTCGCTCCACTCGGACACGACGTAGTCGCCATCGACCTGCTTGGAGGCCGTCTGCACCGCCACCGTGTACTCTGTCCTGGGGCTCAGGAACCAGTGCCCGCGCACCGTCATGGGCAGGGGAACGGCCTTGGCCACCAGCTTGGTGGGCACATCCTGCACAAACAAAACACCAAAGGACACACAGTCAGCAGTGAAACCAAACTAATCTGCCACCCTTTCCTTCACGGCTTTTGCAGTAGTCCCCAACCCTGAGATGGCTCTCATCTGCAAAATCGAGTTATTTCCCACAGTTTGTCGGTGCAGCAAGGTGAGCAGTGACAGAGGATTGTGGTGTAAGGCCTGTTCTAAGAGACATGGGGATAACTTGCATGTATGAATTAATTATTTGTTCCAAGTGACTGTAGAGTAATACTATTATATATAGCCCAAATATGTAATTCTCTCTAGGGTCATTTATGCTTATATATGTAAACAAAGAAAGACATGCTACTGAGAACAAAGGTATCCTAATTTAAGAGATTCTTGTGCTCTCACTGTTTTCCTTTGGCCAATGTTATCAAACAAAATTCCTCCTGCTGTCAATCAGTCCAGCTACACTGCTGCTACAACCTTCCAAACTAAATTTCAACAGAGAAAATGAAACACATTGCAGAGTAACTATGGCTGCTTCGCATCTTTCAAAATACCCTTCTGTACAGCAATGCCCAGAAGAAGCAAACAGCTTGAGCCTACCACTGAATCTCCTGCCTTCCCCTCCACTGCCCCTTCAGATCCTCTGTTTTGCTCTTCCAGTATATCACAGCCCCAGGGTACAACCAAGAAAAATAGCTGCTTGCTGTAGTTGAAATACTTGATTTCTACAGTACCACAGACTTTGGTACAGACCACCAAAGGACAGAAAAAATGGAAGAACAGGACATATTATGCAAGAACTGTGGAGGAAAGGACTCACAATGGAGTGCAATGATTCTCTGTAGTATACCTGAGGAGCTGCAATAGAATGAGAGATATTTATGACTGAATATTCACCAGTAATAACAGAATAGTAAGACAGCTGCCATGTGAAAAGTGGGCACTGTAAATGGCATCCTTAACTGTCCACCTATAAATCCTAGTCCACAATCATCTACCTATATATAGCAGTACTATACAAGGGCTATAGGTAGATGGACTACTGTAGTAGTTCTATAGCATAGTAGTCTTTAAAGGAAAAAAGGAATAGAAGGGGGATATTTCCTGGTCATAATCACTAAGCAAGATCTGAAGGATTTTTTTCCCCCTTGTCTTCTATTATGAAAAAAGATCTTTCTCCTTTTGTTTTCCTATCAACAAAAAATTATCTTCAGTTTCTGTATTACGAAACTAAAATTAGCAGCTTGGGATATTACAAGAACTGATGTAATTGAGTGATAATCCAGGGTAAAATTTTGTTGTTATGATTTCTCTTTTGTTAACTATCATTTAAATCAAATAATAGTTGGATGAAAACTTTATCTGAAAAGGAGAGAGCTGTGCATGCCACAATTCATAATATGTAGAGAAAAATTACAAAGAAAAAAAACCAAACAAACACCAAATGACATTTAAAGCTACCACCCCAAAAGGCATCCCACTGGACTGAGTCTGCTACTGCTAATGCAGTCAGCAGGTGCCACAGTTAACATCATTGGTCTTCCTGTCACCTCTTCTTGGGTTATTGTAAAAGAGCTCCCACCTGGGTCAGATCTCCGTGCTCACACCCCAGTGGTGGCATTTTCCCCATCAATTTTGTCAGTTTTCATGTAACATTAAAAGCCTTGTTGCCCCTGGTGTCAAAGCCTTACCCTCCAGCTGTGCATCAGCTACCTCTTTTTACCGTACCAAAAAAGGGAGAGACTGAAAAACAAAAAGGGTAAAAAGAAAGGGGCAGTCCACCACAGACCTTGCACAGCTGGAGAGGAGGGGTAGATGTGATGCTTCTCACAACTCTAATCTGCTGGTTTTTTCCTAAGCAAACACCACGTTTTTTTAAAGGCCACAATAGAGAAGAAATATTCAAATGTTCACATTGAGGATCCTCTGGGGATTCTCCACTTCTCCCTTTCATCTTCTGCTCAGTTCTCATTCCTGGCTGAGCCACCAAAGAAGGGCACAGCAGGTACTGTGCCAGCTCAAGGAGAGCCAGGATTCTAGAGTGGCAGATGGCTGCTCCACTACCAGCACCCACCAGACAGCTCCAAAGGTACCTAGATGGCAATAATTTCTAAGAACAGCCTGTGAGCTTTGAATAACTAAGCAGCAAGGTGTATGAGTCTCTCTACTCTCCTTTTTAGGAAAAGAGGCAGCTTTCAGTCTTCAACTTTCTCCCATTTCATGTTACCCTTCCCTTTGCCAGGTCATCTCATAGAACACATTGTGGGAACTCAGCACACCCAGATTTTGGTCCCAGGTTGGTTAAATATTTGAGTATTTTTCTTATTACATGGGAGTAATCATATTTTCATATTTTAAAAGAGAGGAGGTATGCAAAATTAATTGAAAAGAAGACAAAATCTCATTGCAATTCTAGTTTTTGCACACCACTACCAATACAAACCGTCTCCTTCACAGAGATGATGACGATAGTCAAAAATAATAAAAATATATGAACCCTAAGTATGCTGAATATACTTTATATATTTGCCAACAGAAACAGTATTGGAAGGTTGAATCATTCCCAGGTACACAAGAAAACAAAGAGCTCCCTTTCCTGAGGTACAGCATGGATCTATCAGGTGAAGTCAATATCCCAAGTAACTTACAGCCACCTGAGCACACTGATACTTAATGTTAATTCTGTATAAAAGTTAGAAAATGAGCTGGTCCCTTGCATTAAGACCTATGAGAGAGAGGGGCACTTGCAGTGCTTTACCCTACCTATAAGCTAGGTAAGGATGGATTCTTCTTGCACAGGCCAGGCTGCTGGATGGCTCCTACGAGTAAATCCCAATGCTCTGGTTTGTATCGAGGCAGTAGGGCTCACTGTTTTCTCTCTAGGAGAAAGGACAGTGTTATCCCCCTCCTTTATGCAAAAGCTTTGTTAGGAAATCAGGGGATGGGTGGGGACTGAAAACAGTTCCCTGCTGTGAGGATTCAGGGCTGGGCTATCAGCTCCTGTGGCTGAGCTTCAGCTGGGAAACTCCTGTGGCTGACTTTAGAAGGAGGAAGGATGCTTGTCTTGAACCACACCTGGCTCACACATTTGGAATCTGAACACTTCAATTATCAACCAAAGTTCATTCTAGAAGTTGTGCTAAATATTGCTTAGTACTAAAGATGCATGAAAGAGAACACCCAAGTGCTCTGGCACAGAGCTGGACTATTCAAGCAGTGCTCTACTATTGTCCACCCTCTCTCTACTCTCTGGATCTCTGTCATTCAAGCTTGGGAACAAAACCATCAAAAAATCACAGCAAAAAATCTTAACAAGTCACTAACAAAATTAATAGCAATCAATTTTTAGTTAATTCTGAAAAGACATCCAAAATATTCATCATTTTAATGGATAGATTTTAGTCTCCTGTTCTTAAACCAATTGCCTTTGTCCTTTGACTAAATACTACTGCACAATAAAAAACTAGGGAATTGGTGAGAAATTAATAAAAATAAATCTAGTAGCTTTTCTTTATTTTACTACCAATATCCTTTCCCCCCTTCCATTGTAAGTCTAGTCTCATTGCTGTGATAAAGATTCTGAAGTGTATGTGGTGTTTGCTCTACTATGATGGCTCTACTTTTCACAACAATAAATGTTCCAAGTATACACCAGTTAGCACATGAGTGAAAAAACATATAGAATAATAAAACAAATGAAATTAGAAAGAATCCATCCCACTTTAGGGAGTATATTAATTCCTGCAGTATAAAAAGAGAATTTCAATTCAAAGGCAGTCAGTCCAAAATTAGTACGAAAAAAGCAAAAGTACCCTACTTTATTTGCTATTACAATTAAAAATGGGGAATAATATGTGCCTATTATAACATTAGGTTCAGTAGTGTTTCACACACTACAACAACCTGGCCAAACATGTAAAATTCTCAATTTCAAGAAACAGTAAGTGATTTTTCGTTACTCTTACTGCATATATTACTTCCAGCCAAAAACAACAGCATCATCAAAGGTCAAATAAGAAAATTATACACCTGCCAGTAACAGAAATCTCATGAAAAATACTCTCACAATAAAAAGCCTCAGAGAAATTGGTGGGAATATCTTCTGTTTATCTCACTGGCTTAGAAACCAACAGTTATTTAGGTGCTGAGAAAATTACAGCCTTTACATTTGTTTGGACAGTTATTTGTGCCTTGGCAAACCTTATCTTTTAGACAATGCCAACATTATTTTTAAATTTGAAGAATGTTCTATCTCAATGTTTCTCTAGACATCTCAGTATTTCAACTGTTCTGAGGTCAAAGCAAATTTTGCTGGATTTGGTAAGTAAGGCATTTGCAGATCCTGCAATGCCTTCAATATGTTCCTGCACCAGAGGCTTGAGGAAAGAGGCCAGATGAATATTCAGGTCACAGTGCTGAATGCTGCAAACTAAAATTGCTGGAAGCCTTCCTGAAGTGCATTAGAATTTGTGGCTCTTCTGTTGAAATGATATGTGTTGCTCTCAGGAGTCTGTCACTGAACGGGCAGAGAATACACACACATTTTGTAAATAATGATAAAGAACCAGTCAGGAATAAAAATGGCAGTCTTGCATTACATTGTAGAGGTACCAAAAATGCTTTCAAATGAAACAGAAAAGGTAATGTGCAGTTCTCTGTGAAACAAATGTATTTGTGTGTACATGCACACAGGCTGGAGGCAGAGGAGGTACTCTGAGTAAACAAAAATTCCATCAGATTAATCAAAACCCACCTTTGCTGGATATCCAATTCCTGTTTCCCATGGCCTGGCTTTGAAAGGTTAATAAAACACAGAGATTCATCTGTTTAAAATCAAGCATTTGTGCCTTGATTTTTAAATGAAAATTACCTTGTGTTTGAATTTGTTGGAATTCTTATTTTCTTTCTTGTTGAGATCGATGAAGTAATGAGTAATGCGATCCTTGGATTTAGAATCCATGTCCCAAGAAATCTTGAAGGAGTCACACGTGATGTTACTTATTTTGATGTTGTGTGGGACTGGAAGCTCCTCCATCTCTGCAATCCCACTATCTTGTGATTTATTCCCTGCATGGAAAATAAGCATGATTTGTTCAGTGAAGGACCCATTTGATCAGTGTTTTGTGTGCATTCAGTACCAGCACATCCCTGAACAGCCTTTCACAAAGGCTCACAGGGGGTCCCCAGCAGCCACTGGGGTACATTACAGAAATCTGGGTGTCAGTGATGGAAAGCACTGGAAAGGGATGAAATTCCTCAGGTGAATAAGCACTAATAACACAGTGCACAGAATGGCTGGCATCACCACTGTGTGTGCTTGCAGGCTGACAGGACAAAGCACCTGAAGCTATCAAGTGCTCCAAGGTTCAGTTAAGAAGGCAGCAATGCCCACAGTTAACATAATGGCCCCATTCATATCTGTCAGCCACTTAAACACAAGCAGAAATCATCCATCCTTAAACCACCTTCCAATCTCTGCAAGGTTTATAGATGGTGGATTCATATACACATATGAGTACACATATTTAAAACAGCAATTCCTTTGAAATGAAACAATTAACACTTTGATGAGCCACAGCAAAAGGAACACACAAGCAAACTTCATTTTCTGTTCTTTATTCTTCCCGTTTTCCCAGCTGAGACCCTGCAGTTTTCTTGGGAAGTTCTTTTCTAAGTACATATGGGAGATGAACAAATGACCATCGACCCCAGAAAGAATCACTGATTCTAAATTTAGGTCTCCCCTTAGTTCCCAAGGCAATTTTATAGTTCAACATTCTGTGAACATTAGAATTCAGAAATGTTAGGTGTTCTTGCCCTTACATAACACTCAAGTCAAAAGTGAACAAATGAAAAAAAAACCAACCCAGTAAGATGAGAAAAAATACTGGGTAAAAAATGAAAAAATCTATATGATGTAAGAGAAGAAGTAAAGAAACAGAACCGAAAAAAATGAAAATTGAATATAGATAAGGACAGATAGAACCAAAGCTAGTGTCTCTATGAGAAACTCAGGAGAGCTCCCAAATGATGAAGATGGGAAACTCATGCAGGGATGTGAGGCAATGCCTTACCAGAATTATTCATAGTCACATCTAAGTAATATCTGAAAAAGATAGTATTTATACTTTCATCATAACTGATAAAAACTGATAAAAAACTGAACTCAGAGGTGTTTGGGCAGTAATAAAAGTAACAACTTTACTTGGAAAACATTAGGAACATTTCAGTCTCTCATCATACTCTGCCAAAGAATTATTTCAGCACTTCAATGCAGGAATATTACTGTTGGCCTGATTGTTCAAAATTCTGCTCATAGATATGTGAAATTCAATCACAGACTCTGCAAAGTTCATAGATCTCCAGCTAGTACTGTGAATAATGTATTTTTACTGATGTGATGACTTCAAGAACTATTAAAACTATTTTTCAATTTTTGTCTTATTTGATGCATTTACATTCAAAAGGTTGTCTATTCAAACATTCTATTGCTTTTTTTTTCTTTTTCAACTAATACCAAAATCAGTTAGTGCATGGTTTTGCTCAAAATGCCCCCGATTTGTGCCATACACAGTGACATTTTCAACAGCTGCACTGGCTGCAACACACTCAGAAATACCAGTCATTACTGAAAGCTTTCTCTTCATATGAAAGACGTGGTAAGTGCTTTTCCCAACATGACATTTCAGAAAGCCAGCAGGGAGAAAAGTGCACTGCTTTCTTTTGCAAGCAATTTGTATTTGAAAGATGACTGAAAGCTCTGCCAGGTACACTGAAAAGGCTTCATATGATTGGCTCTTCCAAGAGCAGGGCTCTGTGTTTAAGTAGAAGATGGAGTGTGGATGCTGAGGTTCTCAGAGCTGGAGAGCTGGACAGACTGAGACACTGAACACTGTGTAGCACCCTGAACAGACATGCAGCCAGGAAATCCAAGCCAGAAATCCACAATAGCTCAATGTGCAAATTATTAGCCTAAAAATGAGTTTCTGTATTCCATACCCAGGGCCTGAGCTGTGTTACAAACAGCCAAGGTGGTTTCAGCCTCAGGACACATGCAAAGCAGTAATGACCATTGACAAAAAGTAACAGAGAGAAAGAAACATTTTGGAGAACACCAGCGGCAAACAGCAAAAGTGCTCCTGGGAAATAGATATCATTTTCTGTGCGTTTCTTGGTATTAATATCTGGCACACATCTTCAGATATCTGCACTCCCATTCCTTTTAATTTCTTTGCTTTTGAAGTGAATAAATAGCTGTAAGTAAATGTCAAGCAGAAAATCTCCAGGTAATTTTTAGGGTCAGGGTAGGGGTTAGGGTTGAAAGAGTCAAAGAGCCTACAGTTTCAGGAAGACTGGGGTTCAAGGCACACCAAGGCTATTCCAGCAGGGCCCCAACATTGCTGCTCCTACATCTTTGAGATCTGGAATCCCATGGTGCTGGGTTAAGGGTAGAGTGGTCCTTAGACAGAAAACCTAGGTGATACAACACACATATTTTAGGGAAGTATAAAGACAAAAAAGAAATCTGAGCACACCTAACATGCCAAGCTCCTGAAGAACCTCCATCTCTAACACTGGCCTTTTCCCCAGGACTGAAAATTTGCTACAAAAAAGAAAGCCCAGATTCAGTGGTGATTGCTCTGTTCACCCAAACCATGTCTGTCTGCACTCAAGCACCTCAAAGCAACTTCTAGGTTGCTGCAATTTTTTATGGTGTGCAAGACACCCAGAAGCCACTGAATGAATTGAGAAAGACAAAAGCACAGGAAAGCCCTGGTGATAGCCCACAAGCAGTGACTGGGAGGGAAGTCAGTGGAACCGTGGTGACCACAATATCCTGTGTGCCACCACAATATTTATTCCCCTACACTGATGTAATTTCACTCACTGGGGCTGCTGTCATGCAGGAGAGGGTGCACCAAGTGCTGGGTGTAGTGTCTGGGAATACACACAAGACATTAACTCCTGCAGCTACTTCTGTGAGCTCTCAGCTCCATGAAAACCCAGCAATGTGATGAGGGAAATGTGACTCAGGGTCATGAGCCAGGAATAAGCGAGACTGTACTCACAAAATACAAAATTAAAAGCTAATGCTAGATTCTTAATGCATTCTGGGAAGATATCTGAAAATCAAAATATGTGTAGATGAGGATGAGAAGCAATTTTGAGATCCTGAAAGACTAGGTTTTTATGTATATATCTATAGATAGACAGAGAGATAGATAGACACCAACAGCACATGTAATAAATACATTAAAGGCGAAATAGAATTTTATATTATGAATCACATTTTTTTAAAAAAATCTCACCTTATTTTAAATGCATGCACTGGGGAAATCAGAATGTGGCTTTCTCAAGGTAACATTTTCAATACAATGAGAGATATTAGCTATGGTATTTTGAAGAAGAAATGTTTGATGAGAGGGGATCAATGTCTAAGAGCACACATGTCTTAGGTACCATGACATAAGAAATCCTCTTATAGACGTGGATGCTAACAACTGAGAACAACTCATTTACAAACAGGAACTCCCATAACATGAGCAGAGAAACCCTTATACCTCCTGAAATACAAAAGTTTCTACATTTTCTTGTCTTGATAATTCAATGGGTAGGTTATATATCAGATCTATAGAGATAAAATATTGTAATTACAGAAATCTGATATAGACTGACAACATTTAAGTGCTGTAATTGAGAGTGAATTCTCCAATTTACTGAGAAGGTATTTAATTTCCTCAAAAATTCAACAGAAGGGAGAAAACTTCATTCTGTATAACCATCAAAATGACAGGGATGTGCCAGGAAATTACATATTAGCTGCTACTTTAAATTTAACTAAGCAAAATACAGTCTCATATTTTCCTCCTGTGTTGAGGAATGAATGGTTCCCAGTCCAACTGCTGGCTGTACAGAATTATTTTACAGAGCCAGGACAATATGTCCCCACCAAGCAAATAATTAACCTGAATACCAACATTTCAATGTTCACAGCAACACCTTGTTCAAGAGAGACAGTGAAATCACACAGAGGAAATACAAATGCAACAACATTCAAAAAATATTAAATCAAGGCTGTTATTTGTTAGGCTATGTAAGTGCACTTCTCTAGGATAGTTACTCTATTTCAAAGCTCAATTTTTTATCCATAACCACAGAAGTAATGTTGATGTTTTGGTTGTGCTTCTTTTCATGTACAAAAAAAAATGAGTGAAGAGTCTCAGACTCTTAAGTATCTCTCTCTTCTCTCCCTCAGAATCCTGGTAAATGACCTCCCAATAGAGATTTTTATAGTTATATAAGCATATTTAGGAATATTTTCTAAATAAGTATCCTTGTAAAACTAATTCCTAAATTAGATAAAGAGGGAATGCCTGACCCTAGAAATCCTGTTAGAGGGATAAACCCCTCTAAACCTTCTCCTCATTTCCTCCCCATTGTCTGATACTACTGCTGTGCATTTTCTAGTATGAAATGTGCACTGTGTCCAAAATATTTTAAAAATAGTTTCAAGAATAAAGCATTACTTAATTAATATGTGTATCTATACTGAGTGGTTTTGAAACGTGCATATACATTGAGATTCTTATTACATGGTTTTAACAGCTTAATTTATCTGTTTCCTGCTAATCTAGGACATTGACTTCAGCAGGAATATTCCACCCACAAACCAAAGAGAACACAACTGGACTCTGCGAGTACAAATGTGCCTTCAGTACAGGCATTTTCTTCAGCTGAGAATGCCCCCCAAACAGTGCCCACATAAACAAAGCACTGAGCAATCTCTGGAGTGCCTGGCTTCTGTGCTGAAAATTTTGTCTCAGCCCTTACAAAGGACTCGATTCTTCCTCCTTCTCACAGGGAGGATGAATGCACTCTACAAGTGGCGCCGTGGTTCACAGCAGCAGCAGCAGCCCCAGCCCTCACTCCTGCCACTGCCAGCCAGGGATGTGCAGGCTCCCAGCTCCTGCTCTCTCCAAGCCTGGGTTCCCAGTGCCTGCTGTCACCAGGGGCCTGCAGCCCTGCTCTGCAGGCTGGAGGTGCAGCACAGCAGCGAGGGGACCACG